GAACCACGGTCACCCCCGACAAGCGGAAAGGGCTCGTGTACATCCAGCAGACGGACGACTCGCTCATTCACTTCTGCTGGAAGGACAGGACGTCGGGGACCGTGGAGGACGTGAGTGCCCGCGGGCCGGGCCGGGCCGGGGCTGCGCTGGGGCGGCCGGCGGCCCGGCCCCGGCCCCCAGTGAAGTCCTGTGCGCACGGGCACGGCGTGGGCCGGTGACACGCTCCTCCGGCCTGGCGCTGGGGGACAGGCCCGAAATCCTGACCTTCATCAGAGCCCTTGAGGAGCCAGGCCTTTCGGTACTGGTCTCTCCCTGGAGTTCTTTGTTCTTGGATCCAAGTGCTCCTTGTTGACTTCTTACCTTGTAACTTTAATCCTAAAACGTTTATGTTGAAGTCCTTCAAGATCTGCGGGCTCCTCCGCTCCTCCCCGGGTCCTTTGAGCGCTGCACCCCGTCCTGTCAAGACTTGGGGTTCAGTGAGTTTCCCTGGAGAGCCAGGGCTTATGTCGGGCCTGCATGGGAGGGGGAGGCTGACTCTCCTCTTGGGGTTGCCAGGATTTGATTATCTTCCCGGATGACTGCGAGTTCAAGCGCGTGGCACAGTGCCCCAGCGGGAGAGTCTACGTGCTCAAGTTTAAGGCCGGGTCCAAACGGCTCTTCTTCTGGATGCAGGTACCCGGTGGGGCTGTTGAGTGCTTTGGCTTTTCTTGCTGTGACGCCACCCAGTTTGTTAGTGGTGACACACACTAGGTGGCCAGCCTGACAACGCCAAGGTTGTCTGGAGTTCCTTGGCGCTGGGATGGCTTGTGCCAAGGCTCCTGCCCCTGAGCATCACCAGCGGTGGTGGGTCTGATCCTGTTTCCACCACTTTCTCTGCCCTCTCCTGGGGGGGGGGGGGTCACTGAGCCTCCAGGGTAGGGGCGGATCCCTGCCCAGGGTGGTTCCCTGCTTCCTTAGTCTGTGGTAGCTTTCCCTCCTCCATGGCTCCCATGTCCTCAAATCAGGGAGCTACCACTTACTCGGAGGCCTGTGATTCTGAGCCTGTGAGGCTGTCAGCTGTGATTCCCTTTGTGTTCTGGCAGCGTTGCATAGAATAGCTTGGGATCTAAGTTCTTTCCTAGGTGTGTAAGCGGACTGTGGGCCAACAGCTAGACCTAGTGCCGGGCACCAGCGCTGGTGTCTGCAGTCGCATGCTAAGATGAGAACAGAAGTTTTAGGCCAGCCAGCCAACGTTTGTTAGAGCTCACTTCAACAGCTAAAGGGCATGACTGCACACACCTGTTACCCTGCTCTGAGGGAGGCTGAGCCTGGGACAAGGTCCAGGCCTTCCGACACAAGAAAGAGTGTGAGACTTATGGTAATGGGAGAAAATGAGCATGGTAGTACGTATTCTGTCATCTTAGAGGTACAGGGAGCATAAAATAGGATCATGGTCTAAAGCAAGCAACAAGTGAGACTATCTCAAAGTAGCCAATGTGAAAAGGAGCTGTAGATGTGGCTCAGTGGTTGAGTGCCTGCCCGGTAAGCACAGGGTCCTGAGTTCAAACCCAGTACTAGATCAGAGCCACAGGCATTAGCAGTTTGGACAGTCACTGCTACCCACTTCTAGTCCCATCTAGAGGGGCAGCATTGTCCAGTGATCTGCTCACCTGGTCTGAGGGATCATAGGAGAACAGTGGGTGTGGTTGTTTTCAAATTAAACTTGACTTATAAGGATGGGGTGTGGTTTGCCAGGTGTGGGTGTAAAGCAGTTGTCTATTATTCGCCAGAATTGGTGTCAAACTTCCTGACTTTCTAGATGGGGTCTCAGTTATCTAGGATGGCCTAGAACTTGAGGCCTGCCTGCCGCCCCCTCCCCAAGTCTGGGATTCCAGATCTGTGCCTCATCCCCCCCGCCTCTTGGTGCTGATACCAGGGCTTGAGTTCAAGGCCTGGACACTGTCCTTTATCCTTTTTGCTCAAGGCTAGCCTCTACCCCTTGAGCCACACCTCTCTTTCCAGCTTTTTGGTGGTTAATGGCAACGTCCCCTGGGCATCCCTGTCTGGTGTCTTTGAGCCTTTGATGGCCGCCTCTGAGTAGCCAGTGTTACGGGCTGAGGCACCACTGCTGCTCAGTTCCTTTTCTTGTTTTCCAGTTTTCCTTATTTTGTGCTTTTCTTGCCCCTTTCCTATGAGGGCTGAGCATCCCTGTGTACTGTGTAGCAGGTGCCCAGGGACCTTGTGGGCTGTTGCGCGTTCCAGGGGTGCCACAGGGCGGGCAGCAGCGGGCGGCGGCAGTGTAGCAGGCAGGTCCTGTGACTGAGGGAAAGAGGCTGCCGGCCGAGCTGCTGGGGAGGCCGCAGGGGCGGGTGACTCGCTCCTCCCCAGCATCTGCAGGCCCGCCCCTCGGCTGCCCGGGAGGTGTGGCCGCTCTCCCCACCAGCGCCTGGGCTGGCTGCTTCTGCTTCTTCGGGTCCTTGTGGGGCCGGGTCAGGACGGCCCGTCATGTGGGCGCTCAGAAGCCAACCGGCACCAGCCGGTTCCCACGCGGGTGGCTCAGCATGGGGCCTCTCGTGTGTCCTCCTCAGGAGCCCAAGACTGACCAGGATGAGGAGCACTGCCGGAAAGTCAACGAGTATCTGAATAACCCTCCAATGCCCGGAGCGCTGGGGGCCAGCGGGAGTGGCGGCCACGAGCTCTCTGCTCTGGGTGGTAAGATGGGCATGGACCCTGGGGCATGGCCACCTGCTCCCCAACCCCCTTTTGCCCCCTGCCTGGCAGTGGTACCCCCGGTCAAGTCCAAGCCACAGGATACCCACGGGGGACCCTGTGTTTTCCAGGTGAGGGTGGCCTGCAGAGCCTGCTGGGAAATATGAGTCACAGCCAACTCATGCAGCTGATCGGACCCGCCGGCCTTGGAGGACTGGGTAACCCCAAGCTTGGCTCCTGAGTTGGGGGCGGGGCTCGTTTTGAAGCCTGTGTTTCCTCAGTGCCTTTTGTGGTACAGAGTGAGCCCCAGCCCGGCCTGTGCCCTGCACTGCCACTCTGGGAGGCCCCTGCTCACCTGGGGCCAGGGATCTGCACTCAGGGCTCCGGCCCGGGCCTCTGGGCTGCCCGCCCACCAGCAGCTCAGACTGCAGCTGACATGCCGGCCAGTGCTTGGGTCATGTAATGCAGTGGGATGCCGTCTGGCTCAGTCGAACATGCTTCCAGCATGTAGGCGCTGACCCCTGACACTCGTTCCAAGGCTGGGTGTGGTGTCCGTCTGTCTTCCCCCAGGCCTGTGGCTGTCACGTGGGGACCCGCTGGAGTCTGTGGGGAAGCAGCTGGGTCACCAGCACACATCCCCTTGTTCCTTTCAGGTGGGCTTGGGGCCCTCACTGGGCCGGGCCTGGCCAGTCTCCTGGGGAGTGGCGGGCCTCCGGCCAGCAGCTCTTCCTCCAGGTGAGCCCACAGCACCCTGCCCAGCGTGCAGGCACCCCCGTAGCCGGCCATTGTCTGTCCCTTCCCTCTGAGACCCCACGTAGGACATGGGGCTTGGGGTGGGTGGGCGTCTGGAGTAGGACCTCGCCGCTCTAGAGCGCCCTCGCTTTTCCAGCTCCCGGAGCCAGTCGGCAGCCGTCACCCCATCCTCCACCACCTCTTCTGCCCGCGCCACCCCAGCCCCTTCCGCCCCAGCAGCTGCCTCGGCCACCAGCCCAAGCCCCGCGCCCAGTTCAGGTAATGGAGCCAGCACGGCGGCCAGCCCGACCCAGCCCATCCAGCTGAGCGACCTGCAGAGCATTCTGGCCACCATGAACGTGCCGGCCGGGCCCGGAGGTAGCCAGCAAGGTAAGGTGGCTGTGCCCATGCTGAGGGGGGCTTGGGAGTTGAGGGCCCGCCCCCCCTTGCGGGTGGGTGTGTCCTTGCTTCCCACGTGGAGTCCAGGCTGAGCCACTCACGGCCCTGTGCTCATGCCCTAGTGGATCTGGCCAGTGTGCTGACGCCGGAGATCATGGCTCCCATCCTCGCTAACGCAGATGTCCAGGAGCGCCTCCTGCCCTACCTGCCCTCGGGGGAGTCCCTGCCCCAGACCGCCGATGAGATCCAGAACACGCTGACCTCGCCCCAGTTCCAGCAGGTAGGCAGGCGCGAGCCGTGTGTTCAGGGAGACCCCATCCTGCCTTTGGGGCAGTGGAACACCCGTGCCGCCGGGCCGTGCCCGGGCCTTGCTGGGCTGTCACCCAGCACTCAGCCCTGACGCGCACACGGCTCTCTCTCACAGGCCCTGGGAATGTTCAGTGCAGCCTTGGCCTCGGGGCAGCTGGGCCCTCTCATGTGCCAGTTTGGCCTGCCTGCAGAGGCTGTGGAGGCCGCCAACAAGGGCGGTGAGTACCTCCCCGCTTCCCCTCCGGCCCCTCCGCGCCCCGGGAAGCAGCTCCTGGCGGGGGTAGGGTAGTAGTCACTCGTATTTTTCTGGGACTGTGGTTTGAGCTTCAGGCCTCACACTTTCTTCACAGCCTGGTACCCTGGTACTTGAGCCATGCCTCAGCCCTAATTGTATTTTAAATGCATTTCAGATGTGGAAGCATTTGCCAAAGCTATGCAGAACAATGCCAAATCTGAGCAGAAGGAGGGCGATGCAAAAGACAAGAAAGATGAAGAGGAAGACATGAGTCTAGATTAAGTTATTTACCGTCTTTTAAGGAGTTTGAATTCTTAGTCATGTGGCTCTTGTAGTGGCATTCGTGATTTGTTGCATACCCTTTCCTGTTCCAACTCACTAATAAATAAAAGTCCTTTCTTTTACCTGCCAACTCTGGTCTTTGTCCCGGGTGTGAGCTGGAGTGGCTGTGGACCCAAGCCGATGAGGGACCCCATATTTCTGACTTGGACCTGACACTCGCAGCTGGTTTGGTCTGTGGCAAGGAGAGCGTGTGTGCTGTGTGTGTGCACACCTGCGGTGTGTACCTGCGTGTGTTCTGGCTGTCTCCCTCCATGCTGCACATGCTAACTGGTTTTAGTTTCAATCCCACACATAGTTAAGCAAATTACTTTTAATTTTTGTTTTGAGAAGAAACCAGTGAACTTTCAGATCTCAGAGAAGGTACAAAGTATAAACCCCTTTTAGTGTCTTGCCTTTAGATTGGAAAAGGTAAAACTCCAGAAATGAGAGCGGTCACCCTTGGAACTAGTCTACATAAATACCCACAAACCTCGGTGACACCCAGCCCGCGGGGGCCTGGCCGCCCAGGGGAAGCCAGCCCAGAGCCAGGGCTCCACAGGGGCAGCTGCACTATGTGACTGGGCAGCCGCTGACCCCTGCTTCCCCCTGCAGCTCCGTGACCGTGGTCCAGGCGATGGGAGAGTGGTTCACCACCAGCTTCCTTATGCAGCCTTGGTAGGCCCGGGGAGTCCCCTCTGCGGCTGTGGACTCTGTGGTGCAGAGGAGGGCACAGGAGTGAGCCTAGACCCCGTGGGCCCTCTGCACCCTCGGGGCGGGGGGCAGCTCCCCCATGGCTGAGGCCATACTCACCGGGCAGGCCCCCAAGGTGCAGAGGTGCAGGGGCCCCAGCCAAGGCCGCTGGTGAGGGGCCCACGGTGTGGTTGCTCGCTCTGTCCACCTCCAGACACAGCGCATTCTGGCTCTTGATGGCTGGGGGGAGGGAGGTTTCAGCCCAGCTCCCCACAGCTCCAGGGACAGCTGTGGGGCCTGCAGCGGCCCCTGCTGGCAGGAGAGTGAGGTGCCCCAGGGATAGCCAGGTAGGGCCACTCACCTGCCAGCCTGTGCCACCGCCCATCACACAGGGCCTCGGGGTGCTTCACCCACGTGGAGAACTCGCCTGCCCCGTCGTCTGCCCGCAGCAGGACCTGGGGAGGGGACAGTCTGGCTCTACCTACCCAAGGCCACCGGAGGGGCGTGCCTGTGCCCAGCGCAGCCCTGCGTACCTGTTCCTTAGACACCTGCAGCTGCAGGTAGGGGGGCGCCTGGCCCCGGCCCAGGTGGAAGACCAGGCCCGAGGCCAGCAGGGGCCGCACCTCCAGCTCCAGCTCCACCTGAGTCAGCGTGGCCTTGGGAGGCTCTGTGGGGAGGACTGCAGTGAGAGAAGGCCAGGCCTGCCCAGAGCCTTCCAGAACCCCCGGGGCCGCCTCTGCCACAGACCTAGAGTGATGACTCCCCCTCTGCCTGAGAAGACGAGGGCTGGCTCCAGCGGTCCTGGGGTGCAGGGTGTGACCCCCACCGATCGTGTGGGGGGCCCCAGGGGCTGCTTGTCCAGCTGCAGTCTTTTCACACAGCCACTAAACCCCACGGACACCTGCGGGGAGCAGGGGCTGGGTGAGGCTGGGTCTGGGGGGGGGGGCGGGGGGGGGGTTCAGAGGGTGGGTGGGTGGAGGCGCTTCTCACCGGGAGCTTGACAGCACGGCGGCTGGGGGGGAGGCCGCCCACAAAGAGGGTGAGAGGCTGCAGGCCGTCTGCCCGCTGCATCCCGCTGTGCGAGGGCCCCTGGCTCACCGCCGGGACCCCGTAGGTCAGCAGCTGGATTTTATTCTGCTCCCAGTGCACGGACACCTGGGGTGGGGAGAGGGGGGTCAGCGCGGGGACGGTTCCTGGGGTCCTGCCACACCCTCGCCGAAGCCTCACCATGTGCCACTGGCCGGACCGGGAACGCTGCTGGCTCCTGGCGTGGAGCCCAGGCCCAGGGCCTTCGGTCTGCACAGTGAAGTGACCACGATTCAAGTAAAGCACCAGGGCGGGGCTGTGGGTCTGGGGGGCGGCGTAGAGGAGGAGGCCGTAGGAGGCACGGGGGTAGACGAGCATGGAGAAGTGGGACCTGGAGGGGGAGCACGGTATCAGCCTGGGGGCTCCCCCGAACCAACCCTTCCCACCCGGCCCGGCGGCCCGGCCCTACCCGTTCCCATGGGAGCTCGAAATGCCTGAAAACTCCAGGTGATTGAGCAGGGACCCTCCAAACTGGTAGGCGTCTGGGGTGGTGCTGGGGTGGAATGCGGGGCAGGCAGAGTCCTGCCGGGGCTGGCGTCTGCGTCGTGAGGTCTTAAAGCACAGATGGAGATGCAGAGGCCACAGCGGGACTCCCTCCTGCCCGCCTACCCCAGCCCGCCCACCCCAGCCGTGGCCCGGCTCCACCCACCCAGCCCGGCCCACCCCAGCCGTGGCCCCACCCACCCCAGCCCCGCCCACCCCAGCCGTGGCCCCGCTCCACCCACCCAGCCCCGCCCACCCCAGCCATGGCCCCGCCTAGCTCCGCCCCCACCAGCCGTGGCCCCACCTTCCGAGCAGAGACCCGCAGCCCCTGGGGTCGGCGGTGGCCCGCAGCCTGTGTCTCTGGCGCTGGGGTGCAGCCTGTGCTCACGTTGGCACTGCCCAGATTCTGCTGCAGGTTGAACACGCGCTGTGGGCCCTGGAGTCTGGGGGGGCAGGCGGGCAGAGTCAGCTGCAAGGGCCTAGCTGGGGCCTCGCCCCCACCTGCCCACAGCTTACCGCTGTACAAAGACATTGCTGATGCAGCCGCTGAATCTGTGCGAGGGGCCGGGCTCATCCAGGCCTCCCAGCAGCAGGCGGGCTCCCTGTGGGTCGGGCGGCAGCCCAGCAGGAGGCACCCGGTGAGGCTTCATTTGCTGCAGCTGGTCATCTACGTAGAGCCAGACCCTGGGAAATAGAAAGGCAGTGTTTCCCCGGCCCTGCCCGCTCCTCTGCAGGGCTGGGCTGGCCTGTGCCAGGCGGGGACGGGGCTCACCCGGTCGCATTGCTGTAGAAGGCCACGTAGTGTGGGACCCCATCTGCAAAGACCCGTCGGGTTTTCACCTCTGTCTTCATAAGCAGGAGTGTCACCTGGCCCTGCTTCAAGGACACCTGGCATAGCCCATCCTGGGAACAGCGGCCGGGCCAGTTAGCCAGGCAGAAGTGGGCCCAGGCTACCCCGCTCCAGCCACCCTGCCCAGATTGGCCACAGCCAGCTCAGGAGTAGAGCAAGCCATGGCCAGCCTGGGTGTGTGTGTGTGTCCAGGCATGGCCAGCCTGGAGGGGAGAGGGAGGGGTCAGGGCTGTGGGCAGGTGGTCTCACCGGGGATGCGCGGTGGTACAGCAGACCATTTTCCTGGGTGCTGCGGAAGCCAAAGCCAGAGTAGACAGGGCTGGTGAGGGGCGCCACACTGGGGAGGCCCAGGGTCAGGAAGCCGTGGCCGTGGAAAGTCATGATGCGCTCCACCTGTGGGGAGGAGGATGCTGAGGCCTACCACCCAAGCGCACTCGCTGGCAGGCGGGGCAGCGGGAAGGCAGCTCACCAGCAGGTCGGCGGTGCAGCCGAAGCTGATGCCGGTGGTGTTGAGCCTCTTGAGGTCCACATACTTGCCCAGCGCTTTGATCCCCTTCATACAGCCTCGGATGGAGCCCCCAGAGGGGAAGAGCGGCTGCAGGCTGCAGGAGACAGGGTCAGGGGGGAGATCCCTCCGAGCCCCGGCCAAGCTGTGCGGGCCCCACCCGGCCCACGGCCCGGTCCTCACCTCAGGGGCAGCTGCTCGGGGGGCACGCCACCCAGGAAGTAGGTGTCGGCCAGCTCCAGCTTGTTGTCCAGCTCCACACTGAACACTGTGAGCCGCTCCACGCGTACCAGCACACGCTTGCGATTGGTGGCCAGAAGGAACACCTGGATCTGGTGGACACGGGTGGAAGGCTTCAAGGCAAGCCATGGGCCTGGGGTCCCCGCCTCCCAAGCGCCCCCCGACCTTACCGCCTTGCTGGCCGCGGTCATGGGCGGCCCGGGGTGCAGCGGAGTTGCTTCATTCAGGCCTGTGCCGAAGTCATAGAAGAGCACCAGGCTGCCTTGCTGCACGGCCAGGCATAGGAACTGGCTCTAGGGGGAGGGGGGGAGGGGGGTGGGCAAGGTCAGCATGGCAGGGCCCACATGGGGGAGGGGGGAGGGGGGAAAGGGGAGGGGGGCATGCCTGGTGCCTCAGGAAGAAGATGATCCCGTCGACGGACACGAGCCGCAGCTCCTGCTCGAAGCGCTTTGTGTTGCTGAACTGTTTCTCGAAGGTGATGCGGGCGAAGCCAGTGCCATCAAAGTAGGAGCCATCGGTGAGCCAGGGGTCCCCGGTGGACTTGTAGCTGCAGGCAGAGGGTCTGGGGTGAGTGGAGGATGGAGAGGGGAGGACGGCACCGGAGGGGAGGCCGTACATACCGAGCACAGGGCTTGTCCACGGCCGTGTTGAGTCTGAAGGTCCTCTGGAAGTTGTAGAGGCTCAGCACCTCCTGGTTCAGCGACTCCATCTCAATGCAGCCGCGGTAGCCGGGGAAACGGAGTGGTGGGGGTGGCTGTGGGCAGAGCGGTGGTCAGGGCACCTCCCCAGGAGTGCCCAGTGGGAGCTTGGGCAGCAGCAGTACCCACTGAGGCTAGACAACCACGAGCCCTTCTGGGGAGAAGAGGAGAAGCCCTCGAGGCCGAGCTCACCGTGAAGTTGTCGGGATAACCTCCCACGTAGAACACGAAGTCGTCGGGCCGCAGGTTGAGTAAGCCCTCTATGCCGGGGGCCACAGTGTCTCCCTTGATCTCCTGGATCACCTGATTCTCCACTGTGATGGACATGTGGCCAAACTGGAGGGTCCTGAGGGCGGAAGTGCGAGGTGAGACACGGCCGCGGGCCCCACGCCGGCCCACCATGGCCCTGGTGCATCCCTACCTGTCCATGCTGATGGCTGCAAACTGCTCCCCAATGTCTTGATCGATGCTGAGGGTGGCGGGCCCGGCCTCCCCCAGCCGGAACACCCAGTGCACCTTCTGGTTGCGCAGAGACACGCCCAGGTAATCCCCATTGGCCTGGATGGCAGCGGCAGGGGACAGTTGGGATGGGACACTGCTGCCCACCGCCCACCCGCCCGCTGGGCAGCCCGTCCCTCCTCCCCCGCCCCTCCTCCCGCCGCTCCCGGCACCTCGCGGCTGCCCATGTAGAGCACGAAGTGGTCTCCAGTGTTCTCTCCAGGCGCGGGTGCAGGTGTGGGGCTCTGCAGGTAGAACTTGAGGGCGGTGTAGGCAGCCAGGTCAGAGAGGTCCCGTGGGGTGCGTAGCTGCACCCCTGAGCGCCCATTGAACTTCATGGATACCTTGACCTGGGGTGACAGGTGCGTCCGTGCTTGCCATGTGGTCGCGAGGCCCACTGTCCCCACCAATCCCACACTGGGGCGGCCCCGCACACCTTGCTGGCAGCACCCCGGGCCTGAGCAATGAGCGCCCGCACGCGGCCGATGCTGGCGGACAGGGCCAGGCTGGTGTTGTGCACCCCGCGGTTCTCCAGGAGACTCAGCTTGGCCAGCAGCTGTGGCAGGGTCTTCTCCAGGGTGGACGCTGGGGGGGAGGGGGGGCTGAGCACTTCACTTTGCCCACCCCACTCCCTCGGGAGCGTGGACTGCAGCTCACCTGAGCGGCCCGCGTCAAGTACCACCTGGCCCAGGTCCCGGCCGCGCAGCCCCCCAAACCGGCCTTGCCAGTCCTCTAGGTTCTTCTGCATGTCCTGGAGCCGGGACTGCACGCGGGAGGCCGTGTCCTGGGCCTGGGCAGCCACTGCCTTGGCGTGGGCGATCTTCTCGCTTGTCTCGTCTGCAGGAATGGTGGGCGGGAGGGCAGGGCTGGGCGGGGACCACCCGGGCCTCCACTGCCAAACCCAGTCACCGCACCATCCCCAAAGCCCAGTGCGGAAAACCAGCTTCTCCCCAGCAGGGATGCTGGCCTGGGCCCCGCCACATTCCAACTTGAGTCTACTTGTTCAGGTCGTGGAGCACCCATGGGGCGAAACGTCCCCACGCACGTGGTCCAGCCGTGCGCTTCGCTCTGAGCCCTCCGCAAACAGCAGGCGCGGCCCTCCACACCCGCCTGCCCTGGGCCTTCACCCCGTGCCCGGCGTCTGGCGCGTGCCGCCAGCTGGACAGGCCGGGGCCGGGCTCATCCGCCACGGGTGGCCAGGGGCTGTTCCCAGGGCTCAGGCAGGGACGCACCCACCATCCCGGGGCCCTGAGGGAGTGAAGGCTCGGTGGGCAGGTGCGGGGAGGAACCACACACCTGTGTCCATGGCCAGCATGGCCTGGGCCTCCCGGACCCGAGCTGCCAGCTCGTCCTTCTGTGCACGCATGTCCCGGATCTGGGTGCCAGCACCCTGCAGGGCGACCCGCGCTGCAGAAGAGGAAACTCAGTGCCACGGAGCCGGGCCCAGCTTCCTCACCCCGAGAGCCATGCCGGAGCCGCACAGACTCAGATTCCCAACCGAGTGCTGGCGTGAGCCCCGGCCTGCGAGTACAGTTCACATGGGACAAACCGGGGTCCCACGGGGCAGGGCCTGAGACGCCACACGGAAGCCTCAGGACCAGGGTCCCCTCATAGTCCAGACACCCTGCAGGCCCGGCTCCACTCACCGAGGTCTAACCGCCGCCGTTGCCCCCGGATGGCCACCTCCAGCGCACTGCTGTTGGCCAGCAGTCGCTGGGCTCGGTCTGCCAGGCCCTTCCGGACCACCAGCTGCAGAGGGAAAACAGGGTGCAGTTCAGACCGCCAGGAGCACCGGGAAACGGGGGACCAGAGCCTTGGGAAAGTTAGGTCTCACCTACCTCCCATGTGTGAGCCGCCTGCCGCTGGGCCTGGCCGGCTGCGCGCTCCGCAGCCTGCACAGCCTGCAGGATGCTGCTATAGGCGTTGGAGGCCTCCACAGCCCTCTGGATGAAGCGGTCCTGGTTGATGCCCCGGATGATGCTGTGTGGGAGAGATGAGAGGTTTGTGGGGGGCGGGGGGGGGGGGGCTCGCTGTGCAGGACAGCAGCGGCGGGGGGAGGGGGCTCGCTGTGCAGGACAGCAGCGGCGGGGGGAGGGGGCTCGCTGTGCAGGACAGCAGCGGCGGGGGGGGGGGGCTCGCTGTGCAGGACAGCAGCGGCGGGGGGAGGGGGCTCGGAGCGCAGGTGAGCCCAGGCTGTGGTGCCCAGCGTTACAACGGCCATCCTGCCTCTTGGTCCAGCCTCCAGGCCTCCGAGCCCCGCCTCTGCCCGCCAGGTGTTCCTTTCTGACCCCTTTCGGGGGAATGGCTTCTCCCTGCAGGAACCCTCCCAGCCAGCCCCTGTTCAGGCGTGGCTGCCTCTGGCAGGGGCTGGCCTGGCCCCTGGCGGTCCACACGCACCTAGACAAGTTGAGTGCCAGCTGGTCCAGCTGCCGGGCGTGGGCCTCAGCGGCCTCCACCAGACCTAGCTTGCTGCCGGCTGGGGAGAAGAGCTGCATCTTCTGCAGCAGGGGTGCGCGTGCGCCGTCGAGGCTGGCCGCCAGGCGCTCCAACTCCTGGGGAGGGGCAGGGCGGGGCCGAGTGAGGACACCCCGACTCCTACGCCACCCACCCAACCTGGGACCCCAGGGGCCTCAGGGGTATGCGGAGGGCACAGGAACCGGCCGTGGCTGCCGCCCGGAAAGCAGCTGCACGGGGGGGACAGGACCTCGGCCGGCCTCACCTCCTTGGCTATATCCACGCCATGCAGAAGCTCCACAACATGGTTCAGGGTCTGCTGGGCGGCCTGCAGGGCAGCCATCACCGTTGCGTTGTCCCGTGACAGCTCCTGCTTCCGTTGCTGGGGGCAAGATTGGGGTTAAAGGGCGTGACAGGCAAGCAGGGGTCCTGGGGTAGAAGGAAGGAGAGGGCAGAGAACCAGGGGGAGGGGAGAGTGGAGAGGAGAGGGGGAGGGGAGGGGGAGGGCAGGGGCCGGCCCTCACCAGGGCTTCCTCCAGCTGCTCCTGGTTGCGGCTGTTGAGCTCCTCGGCCTCCCGCGTGGTGTCCACCGCCCGGTTCAGGGCCTCGCGAAGGTCCATAAGGTCAGCCTCATACTGGGCCAGCTGGTCATGGATTTCCGTGGACAGTTCCTGGTTTTCCCCCCAGCGGCCAGCCAGGTGCTCCTGCACGTGCATTAGCACTGGCCAACACCGGGCGTCAGAGCTGTCACTCGGGCAGCCGGAGCTCCTCTGGTCCCTGACTGGTCCCTGCCCCTCCAAGGCCCAGCTGGGGCCACGACACAGCTGGGCTCTGAGCCAGACCCGCCCCTCCGCCCCTCCCCAGCCCTCAACTCTGAGCCAGCCTCCCCCTGCCCACCCAACTCCTCCTTCTAACCCTCAGCTCTGAGCTGGCCTCCCCCTGCCCACCAACCCCCCCAGCCCCTCCCCCTCCCAGCCCTCAACTGAGCCGGCCTCCCTCTGCCCACCCAACCCCTCCCTCCACCTCTCAGCTCTGAGCCGGCCTCCCCCTGCCCACTCCCCACCCCCCCAAGCCCTGCCTGACCGGTTAGCAGCACTCACGTGTCTGGGCCTCGGCCAGCTCGGCCTCGGCCACTGCCCGGGGGCCCCCCAGGCTCCGCGCCCGCATCTCCTGGAGCAGACGCTCCACTTGCGCCAGCGTCCAGCTCAGCGTCTCTCCCGAGGGGGCCGAGGCGTTAGCTGGCGTCAGATGGCCCATCTGGGCTGCGAGCTCTGTGGGGCCGAAGGTGGTCAGGGCTGAAGGTTGTGCGGGCAGCCTCTTGGCGTGTGCTTCATTCCTTGGTGAGCTCGGGTAGAGCGCACGCTGCCCTTCCGCCTGGCCTTCCCCGGGTACCCAGCTCGGCCAGCCCCCCCTCCCCACAGCCCTCCTTGCCAGCCGGCTCACGCCCAGCTAGAAGGGCACTTTCTCTTGGACTCCTGGGCTAGGCTGGGCCCCACTGCGCCGGCCCGGGAGCCATCATTTTTGCGTGTTCAAGGTCTGTTTGTCATGAAGGAAGTGGCCAGCTTGGCCCATCTCACGCAGTCCACCTGGACTCATCAGCCCCTTACGCACATCCTGAGCACACCACACACAGCTAAGCACGCACCCCTGCCAGTTCTCCCAGGACGTGCTCGGGCGAGACCCCAAGGACACCCCTGTCCCAGCAGCCTTACCGCTCAGGGCACGGTCCACAGCCCGGATCGTCTCCAGCAGCGTCTGGGCCCGACCCCGTGTGACCTCGGTGCTGTCCAGCAGTCGACCTGCCTGGTCTCGGGCTCCAGCGGCCTGTGGATATGAGCTTCAGCCACATCCGACTAGTGGGAGCATGGGGGGGGGGGGGGGGGGGGGGGGAGGTGGCCCGGGTGACAGGGACGGCTGAGGCACAGTGCGGCTGGGAAATGGGGAAGCTCCAGAGGGTGAGGAACCCCGGGGCTCTCCCGGGAGGGGCATGCAGGCACTTGGGGCAGGGGCCGCAGGGGTCCTGCCTGGCTGTCCAGCTGCTGTGCGTCCTGCACAAGGCTTGTGCTCTGTCGCTCCAGAGTCTGCAGCCGCTGCACCGCCTCGTGACGGGGATCTGGTGGACCCCGGAGCTGGGTCTGAGGGGAGCAGGAGGTGAGGGCCTGAACCGAGGGGGGGAGGGAGGAGAGGGAGCAGGCGGCAGGAGGCACCTTCAGGTCGGTGATGGAGTCGTTCAGCCTGTGCAGCCGCGCCCAGGCCGCCGAGCTGGTGTTGAGGCTGCGGAGCTGCTCTCGAATGGCGGGGAGGATGGCGCCAGCCCGCTCCAGGTCGTCCAGAAGCAGGACCACACAGTGGTCACACACTGCGGGCAACGAGGGCCACGGGTCAGTGGGGGCGGGGTGGGGCAGGGACTGGAGGGTCACAGGATTGTGGCAGGGGTCACCGTGGGGTCGATGAGTCAACACGGAGCCAGACGTGCCAGAGAAGTGAGGTCAGTGGGGAGGGGGGGTCACAGGATAAAGAAGAGGTCTTGGGGTTCAGCCAGAGATCATGGGGTTGGCACAGAGTCTGAGCAGAAGGGGTCAAGGTGGAGGGTCAGAGGCTGGCATGGGGTCATCACGGAGGTTGGGATGGAATGGGGCAGGTGCAGGACCAGCCGGATGCGGTGCCCACTTGAGTGCTGGGCAGGGTTGGAGGCGGAGGGGCCCGCAATCCACAGAAGGGCAGGGATGGAGGGGACCGGGATCCCCAGGGCCAGGGTGCAGGTGGTCATCGGGTCAGGACAGGGCTGGGAGGGGCAAGGGGCTGACCTTCGCAGTGGATGCCGTGGCCTCCAGGCCCGCCTGGCACGGGCACCTGGTGCTGTTGGCTACACACATCGCAGCGGTCCCCTCCCAGCCCCGGGGGGCACGTGCAGCGGCCGGTGCGCGGGTCACAATGGCCTCCCGGGCACTGGCAGCCTATAGAGAGAGGCCGGTGAACATGGCGCCCCCCCCCCCCCGCGCGGCTGCCCCCAGCCCTCCTGGGGCCCACCCGCCTCCACTCACGCCTGCAGCCGTGCTCCGGGAGCCCCCAGTGGCCAGGGGCACACTCGCGGCACTGGGGTCCCATGGTCCCAGGTCGGCATCGGCACTGCCCGCTCTGGGGGTGGCACTGCGGGCCTTCAGCGGCCGGTCCACAGGCACAGGGGCGGCAGCCCTGACAGAGCTCGAAGCCAAAGTGTCCTTCCTGCAGGACAGGCTGCAGTGACGCCCTGCCCAGTCCCAGGAACCCCCTGGGGCACGGGGCGCAGTCCTCCTCCCCGCCCAGGGCGTGTGGGCTCCGGCCTCCCCAAGCCCGGCCCTCCTGTCCCCGCCAGGAGGTCATCAACGACAGGGGCATTCTCCTCCTGTCCCCCGTCTGCCCAGGCCCTTCCCCCCACTGCCCCCCCCGCCAGCTCCCCCCCCCCCCCCCGCACCTGACAGCGGTCGCAGCGTGTCCCGGCCACACCCGCCTTGCACACGCAGCGCCCGGTCTGGGGGTCGCAGGCCTCCGTCCCGCACAGGGAGCAGTCGCACCCTAAGGGAAGGCGTGCTGTGACTTCCCAGTCCACCCCAGCCATTCCCCCGCCTTCCTGCTCACACCCGAGCCGCCACCTCCCTGGTTGAGCCGGGCCTTCCTCTCCCAAACCTGACAGGCCCCTGAGTGAGCATGCACGGGGGTGGGGCGGAGTGCAGAGTGCAGAGCCCGTGACGGGGTCCTGACCACGACGGGGGGGGGGGGGGGGGGGCGCCCTCCCGCCCGCTGCACGCGCCTGTCCCCGGAGTGCGCCCCACGGCCCCGCCCCCGCCTACGCGTGCAGTTGCCGGGGAGCAGGGCGTTCCCGTAGAAGCCGGGGGCGCACGCCTCACAGCGGGGCCCGGTGGTATGGCGTAGGCAGCTGCGGCAGGCGCCGGTCAGGGGGTCGCAGTCACTGAAGAGCAGGTTGGGGTCCCCGTTGCCGCTGCAGTCGCAGGGCTGGCAGGAGCTGCCCAGCACCAGAGGGTTCCCGAAGAAGCCAGGTGCGCAGCTGGCATGCAGAGAGGGCGGTCGGGTCAGGCCAGGGCCGGCCCACACCGGTCCGGGTCTGCGCTCTGCCCGCCCGCCGCTTACCGCTCGCAGGAGGCCCCGGCGTAGCCAGGCTTGCACAGGCACTGGGCATGCCCTCCTCGCAGCACACAGGCCTCCGCGAAGCTGAGGACGAGAGGAGGCCAGCCGCTGCCCACCTGCCCTCCCGGCCCGGGAGAAGGAGGGGAGCGGTGGAGGGGGGCGGCAGAGGGGGAGGTGGAGGGGGGAGGTAGAGGGGGGCGGTGGAGGGGGCGGTGGAGGGGGGCGGTGGAGGGCACGGAGAAGGAGGGGGCGGTGGAGTGGGGCAGTGGAGGGCATGGAAAAGGAGGGGGGTGGTGGAGAGGGGTGGTGGAGGGGGGCGGTGGAGGGCATGGAAAAGGAGGGGGGCGGTGGAGGGGGTAGTGGAGGGGGGAGGTGGAGGGGGGCGGCGGAGAGGGCAGGTGGAGGGGGGCGGTGGAGGGGGGCGGCGGAGGGGGCGGCGGAGGGGGGCGGGCAGGGAGAGGCTCTCGCGCCACCAGGGCCTGGCTCGGCTTACTTGTTGGAAGGCACTGCGAGCGGGCAGGGACAGCTGGCACAGGGGGCCGTGGGGTCCCCGGCCCCACCGCTCACAAAGCCGGCCCGGCAGCGCTCGCAGTGGTCGCCCTCGGTGTTGTGCTGGCAGCCCTGGGCAGTGCAGACGGGGCCGGCAGTGAGCGGGGCCCTGCCACACCGCGCCATGCACCCCAGGCCTCCGTGGGTTGAGGGCCACCGGCCTCTTCTGTGGCCCGCCCGCCCACCCATGCTTTGGTGGCTGTGCCCCTTCCACCAGGCCTACTCACCACACAGATGCCAGAGCCGGGGAGGCAGCGGTCTGAGTGGCCGTGGCACTGACAAGGGACACAGCGGCCCAGGAAGGGTCCTTTGGTGTCACGGAAGTAGCCAGGGGCGCATTCCTGGGGAAGGGGAAAGGGGAAGGGGGCAGTGACTGAGAAAAGGCAGAGCCAGCCCAAGGCTGAGCAGAGCTGGGGGCGGGGGGGGGGGGGGGGGGGGACTGCTCCCAGTCAGACCCCAGGGCTCTGCATTCCCAGCCACGGCTGTGGGGCAGGGCGCCCTGCAGCCCAGGGGCCGGGGCAAGGCTGCAATCGGGAGCTCCCGACGGGGACAGGCCAAAGGTCTAGCCACTGGCTCCTAGCCCAGAGAACCTGGATCCCACAGCCACACCACCACGGAGCCTCAGGAAGGACCAGACCCCAGAGCCAGTGGCCAGGGCCTCCTCCTCTACCCCAAGTGCCTCTTCCTAGCAGGTGCGCAGCCACAGATCTGAAATGGCCAAGCCGCCCTCGACTAGCCAGCGCAGAGCAGAGGAGCACAGGCAAGGAAGCGCTAGCGGGACGCTAGGATGGACGGTGGATGGCAGCCGGGGGGCGCTGTGGGGAGGGCTGGCCGGGACGCTAGGATGGACGGTGGATGGCAGCCGGGGGGCGCTGTGGGGAGGGCTGGCCGGGACGCTAGGATGGACGGTGGATGGCAGCCGGGGGGGCGCTGTGGGGAGGGCTGGCTGGGACGCTAGGATGGACGGTGGATGGCAGCCGGGGGGGCGCTGTGGGGAGGGCTGGCCGGGAGCGAAGCTGACAGTGCAGTGGTGACCAGGAGCAGCGGCAGGGACGAGCCGGGGAACTGAGGTGGGAGGGTGAGCGGATGCGAGCAGGCGCGGGCTCAAGCGAGGGCTGCGTGGCTGGGCAGCCTCGGCCGGCCCCCCCCGCCCCCCCTCACCTGGCACGAGTCGCCGCGGTAGTTGGCAGGACACATGCACACCTCCACGTTGCTGGCTGGAGGCCCCATGCCCATCTCACCAGCTACCTCCAGTACCACCCTACGCAGGGAGACCGAGTTGGCCAAGAGGGCCCGGATCTGCAGCTGCTCCAGGCTGGCCAGGACCATCATGAGTTCCTCCCGGGACACAGCGTTGTGGGTCTCCATGTGCCGGAAGTTCCCCTGGGGACGAAGACATGACCTCAGCGGACGACACCCAAGGACGAAGAGGGACAAAGCCTCATGTGAGGGACAGGCAGAGACAAACGCAGGGCGGAGGCACACACAGACCAGGGGGCAGGACTTCCACCGGGAAACCAGCAGCTGGCCCCTACCTCACACCACACACCACATCCAGGCGTGCGAAGAATTACAATGTTTAAGCTCTTAGAAGAAAATACACGTTAAGTGCTTTCTGACTTGGAAGAGAAATACTTTCTTAAAAAATGTGAAAACATTACCATACGTGAAAAAATAGATAAGGTGGTAAATATTAAGAACTATTCGTCCAAAGACATCTTTCTTTTTTGGGGTGAGTACTAGGATTTGAACTCAGGGCTTTGAACTCTACCATTAAGCCATACCTCCAGCCCTTTTTAGCACTTTTTTGTTTTGTTTTTTTCTGGGGGGCTGGTTGTGGGGCTTGAACTCTGGGCCTGGGCTCTGTCCCTCAGTTTTTCAACTCAAGGCGAGCGCTCTACCACTCGAGCCACAGCGCCACTTCCAGTATTCTGAGTAGTTTCATTGGAGATCAGAGTCTCACAGACTTTCCTGCCTGGGCTGGCTTTGAACCATGATCCTCACATCTCAGCCTCCTGAGTAGCTAGGATGACAGGCATGAGCCACCAGTGTTCCGCTCAAAGGTAATTTTTAAAATATTTTATAAAGTCTATGTTGAGATTATAAGTGCTGTGCCTATTAAATCTTCCCTCGCTTATTTGGCAACTATAATTTTTTTTCCAGTAGTGGGGATTAATCCAGGGCCTTGTGCATTCAGACAGGAGCTCTACCTGGGGGGAGGCAATCGTGGTCAACGGACATCTCAGGGAAAAGCAAGAATGGCCTGTAGATACAGATGCTTCCCCGACAAAGAGTATTAACAGTGAACTCCTCTACACAGGCAAGGAAGAGACCATAAGTCAAAGAGACTTAGTCAAAAGACGAAGGGGTGGGGCCACAGAGGAAGGAGCCAATCACAGAGCGGTGTGAAGCGCTCATGACCCATGGCAGGGGGCTGGGAAGGTGGCTCAGTGGTAGAGCGCTTGCCTTGCATGCCTGAGGCCCTGGGTTCGATTCCTCAGCACCACATAAGCAAAAAGGAAAAAAGCCGGAAGTGGCGCTGTGGCTCAAGTGGTAGAGTGCTAGCCTTGAACTGAAGAGCTGAGGGACAGCGCCCAGGCCCAGAGTTCAGGCTCCACAACCGGACCCCCCCCCCCAAAAAAAACAAAACAAAAAAATCCATGGCAGTCAAAGACCCATCACGTGTCGTCAAAGCATTCATCGTGTTTCTGGGGTGATCAGACAGAAAGCCCAAGCCCCCCACAGCCAGTGCCCTGCAGCGCCCCCCCCCCCGGTCCCCCCCGCAGTGTCAGTACCCTGCAGCCGCCCCGTCCCGCCACGGGGCTGTTTTCCACAGTGGGCGTGGCCTTCTGTGGCTGTGCGGGTCCAGCCAGCGCTACTCACCTCCACCAGCTGCAGCTGCCCATGATGAACATGGCCAGGCGCGGGGTAGGACGGCTCTAGGTATGTGATGCTCATCTGGTTGCCCTGGGAGACGCACAGGCCAGGTAAGTGCGGCCTGTGGTCCCAGCTGTCCCCTCCCACCTGCCCGTCCTGCTACGTCCACGCCCTCCTGCTACCTGCAGTACCACACCCGGCCTGCTCTCAGTCGGGAAGAAGACATCTCCCCGCTGGGTCTCTGAGTGCAGCTCGTAGCGGAGAGTCCCTCCGTAGGACGACACCTGGAGCCAGGACAGTTGGGTGACCTGGCCAGGCCCTGGCCGGGGACCCCGACGGTGGCCTCCCCACCCCGTTCCGTGGAGCCGGGCCCGGGAGCCCTCCTCGCGACACCGGCCCTGGGCCGGGGAGCCTCTGGCTCCTCTGCAGCTGGCCCCCAGCTGTGCTGGCCACCCTTACCACGCTCCTGGCCCCTGGCCATAGTTCGTTCTTAGGGAGCATAGCCACTCCATGTGTCCTCCAAACCTAACGCCTTTGCTCACCCGATCTCCAAGGTAGGAAGGGGGCGCCTGCCAGTACAGCTCCGGGCTGCTGTCGACCACATGCCGCAGGTCTGCGTAGAGCCACGTCCCTTCCCGACGCTCATGGGGGACCACCTGCCGGTCACTGCTCAGCAGCGTCCAGCCCTCCATGTCCGTGAACTGTGGGCGCACGGGGGTCATGTGGGGTGGGTGCCCGTCCCCGCATGCTGCCCCCCGCTGGCCGGGGTCACGGGGCTGGCTGTCCCGAGCAGATACCTCGCGGCGGGCGTGGGCGGAGCTCCGGCAGTGCTCGGTGGCCCCAAAGCAGAAGCAGCGGGTGCAGCCCTTGGGGTTGGAGGCATCGAGGGAGAAGGCCCCCACTCGACACTGGTCACACCTCGGGCCCTGCACGTTCTCCTGGGGGCAGCAGAAACGACACGAGTGTGCGGGGGGCCTGGCCGCAGCTCGCGGCAGCCCCCGCGGCCCCCTACTCTCCAGACATCGGGAAGCTGTGCAGGTGTCTCTGCCACAGGCGGCGTGTGGAGGGGCCCCGGCGTGGCTCCGCTCACCTTGCAGTGGCACTGGCCTGTGAGGGCGTCACACACGCTGGGCGCCGTGCCCGCCCCGTGGCAGTCACAGGGCCGGCAGCTGGGGTACCCGTAGAAGCCCGGCGCGCAGCTGTCACAGCGGCGCCCGGACACGTTGGGCCGGCACCTGCCAGAGCAGAGGGCAGCTGAGCCTCCAAGAACCAAACGGGGTGGGGCAGACACCGGGACCTCTGGTCAGCCGTGCCCACCCCGAGCCCACCCAGGGCCCCGGGACTTCCAGGCTCACTTGCACTGGCCGCTGTCCGTGTCACAGGTCGGGTCAGTCAGCTCCTGCACGCCAGGCCCGGAGCAGTTGCACTCCTCACAGCCAACCAGGGGGTGGCAGCCGAAGGTCTGGGGCTGGCAGACCAGGCAGTCGGGGGGCACGGTGCGCGGCGGGCAGATGCATCGGCCCGTGAGCTCGTCGCACAGGCGGGCCCCACAGTCACAGGCTGCGGGGGTGGACATCGCCAGCTGACCCGAGCCCTCTGCCCCGCTCTGCCGCAGCTGCAGACCGCGGGGCGTGCGGGCGGCGCCTGTGACTCCCGCCCCAGCCACGCCACATCCAGGCCCCGGGGCTTTGGGCGGCTGCCCTCATGGACACGCTGACATCTAGTTGCCAAGCGCTGCACACTACCTGCTGGTTCCCAGAATGTTCTAGACAAACCCACAAGATGGGTGTCCTACGCCTAGGCCACAAGCTGTCTGAGGTTCCTAGACAGAACGTGGCAGGGCTGGCCTGACAGACTCCTCCCGGCCTGGCCTGTGAGCCGGGAAGTCCTCATGGGGGGTCTAGCTGGCAGCCCCTGCCTCCTGTGCCCTGTAGCTGGGAAGTGCCCACGGGGCTAGCCCCCAGCCCGGTGCTCACACAGGGGGTACTCACGCCTGCAGTTGGGGAAGCCCCAGTAGCCTGTAGCACAGCGAGAGCAGTCACGGCCGATGACGTGGGCCCGGCAGGGACACTGGCCCCCAAAGGGCTCACAAGTGGGGCCCGTGGCACCCACCTCGTGGCAGCCACAGGGCCGAGCACCGTTATTGTAGAAGAGAGAGAGGGAGGCGGCGGCCTGCCGGCAGAATGGGGTGGAGCTGCTGGGGCTGCGAGGAGAGGAAGGGGTGAGGCCGGTGCTCCACGGGCCACGCGTGGCACACGCCCCAGCGCCGCCCAGCCCCAACCCTGCCCACCTGATGTGATAGCCATGGGCGGCACAGTGGCTGATGAAGTCATAGGACTTGTCCAGGGGCTCCTCCCTGAGGTAGCTGGGGCCATAGACGTCCTCGGGGACCACCAACACGTAGTCCTGGGGAGGGGCGCCTGGTCACTGGGGGCCGGCGAAGGGCCTGGTCGGGGGAGCGGCCAGGGCCTACGGGAAGGGGACAGCCCCAACCCTGCAGCGCCCCCTCCCTCAACCCCCCCATCCTCAGGCACTGCAGCCACCGCAGCGGGGGAGGGCATGAAAGACAGAGAGACCTCTCCTCTGCTCTGTTCCCTGCCTTTTGCCGACATCTCCCCCAGCCCGGTCCACCATCCAGGCTGGCCTCTGGAGGACCACTGCCTCATCAGAGACCCGACACCTGCGAGATGTCTCCTCACTTGATCCTGGAGGTCCCAGGGGCAGAAGTGACTACACTTGGTCTTGGCATGGTGGCGGTGAGACCCAAGGTAGGATGATGGGCCTCAAGGAGGGATGAGCCCTGGGACTCACCAGCCAGAGCCACCGGCCCTCGGGCACCCGCACGGTCACCGTGAGCTCGCTGTCTGTCACGTCCAGCACAGTCCGGCCCTCACACGACACCAGCGTGCGGCACCCATACCCATGCGGGCAGAAGCTGGCGTTGGCATAGCCTGGAGGGGAAGACGGGGGAGATCAGGACGCCGGCTCGACCGCGCCCGGCTCCACAGCCTGTCCTAGGCCACGGCGCGAGCGTGGTGGCTCCTGCACGTGCTCCGGATCTGTCTGCAGAGAACCTGCGGGGCCCTAGCTTCGGGGACCAGCCCTGGCCACACAGCCACAGGCTGGGGCAGGCCCCTAGCTTGGGGACCAGCCCCGGCCACGCAGCCATGGGCTGGGGGGTGGGGGCAGATCTAGCCGAAGCCCACAATCAACCTCTATTTTATCACGTGGGACAGAAACACGCCAAGAACTGTAACATGGGGAGGGGCTGCGGGGACAAGACTGTGGGAACAGGGTGGGGGAGGTGTGGCTGACACCCACAGCAGCCAGACTGCGTCCACCTGTCCCTGCCTGTGCCCGTGGTGGCCACGGCGGCACAACCACCCCTCCCCGGCCACTCACCCTGCCAGACCCGGCCTCCATGGATCAGGACCTCCACGGAGAAGGTGGGGTGGGCCGGCTGGTACCCGTGCAGCAGGAAGGCGTAGCGGCCCAGGGTGGGGACCTGGGTGGTGAAGACCACGGTGCCCTGCGGGGACAGGCTCGAATGAGCGGGCAGAAGTGGGGACATGTGGGGTCCGAGGCGGCCCCCATTACTGTCTGGCCCACGCCTGGGGGTGGAGAGCAGAGGACTGAGCGCCCTGCCTGATCCCCTGCCCCCCACACCCCAGCGAAGGCCCCGCCCGGCCAAGCCCTCACCTGGGGGTGGCGCAGCAGGGTGGGCTCGATGTCGGGGTCCACCGCGGTGGGGGGGCGAGGCTGGGGCCCGGGAGGGGCAGCTCCGGGGGCAAGCTCCTGGGAGCGGGTCAGAGGGAGGTCCGGAGGGAGCGGCAGCACCTGGCAGTCCCTCAGCACAATGGGCTGTGGCGGCTTCGGGAAGCGCGAGGGCGCGCAGGCAGCCCTGGGGCGGACACGCGCGTGAGCCTGGACCCCGGCCACCGGGGCCCGGCCGCCCGGCTGCTCCCTGCCCGCTACCTGCTGAGCCCGAAGGCGCCGTGGCTGCTCACACAGTGGACACGGGGCTCCACGAACTCCGTGCTGAACTCCTCCACAGGCACCAGGGTGACGCCGTGCTGCGGATGCAGGGATGATGCAGCCACCTGGACCCTCAGCGCCCCTGACTGCCCGCCCCTGCCCGCTACCCTCTGAGGCCCGGGCCGGTCAGGCTTCCCGCCGGCCCTGCACCGGCGGGCAGGCTCTAAGGACACGTGCGTCTACACCAGGCAGCTCCCAGCTCGGGGCCTGGGATCTGCCGCCCTCCTCTCCCCTTGTACACATGGAAGAAGCCACCCCTGGGGGCCCGGGGAAGCCAGGCCAGCCCCCGAGACCAAGCCGACCTCACGGCAAGGGCTCCGGACTCACCAGGAAGAAACGCGCCTGCAGAGAGGTGAGCCGGATGCTGGCCTCCGAGTCCACGTGGAAGGTGGCCAGGTGGTGCTGTGAGTCCAGGGTGGGGCCTCGGCACAGGGCGCTGGGAGGGAGGGAGGGGAGGTAATGGTCAGTGGGTGAGCAGCCAGGGACCCGGCCCCCACACCAGCACCGCCCCTGTTCCAGGCCCACCTGTACGGGCAGGGGTGTAGGGTGAGCGCCCCCTGCTGGGGGGCCCGCTGGGGTGTGTGTACAGCCACGCCCACCTCCTGGTCAGGACCTTCGTTGGCGTATTCCACCACCAAGGCATAGCGGCCCGGCCGAGACACCATCACCTGAAGCTGGACGTCCACCTGGAGCGGGGAAGGGTGACCAGAAGCCCATGGTCCCTGCCCTTCCCACATCCACCCACCTTGACCCACAGCAGCCCCAGAGAAAGGGCCGACTCCACTTGGGGCATGAGCACAAGGCAAGCCAGGCGGTCTCCCCTCACAGACCAGGTCAGATGGGGACAGCAGTGGCCACACTGGCCTGTCCGTGCTGGCTTCACGGTCCAGCCTTGCCCCACACCTGCGTCCTGCCCTTCCCCCAGGGCCAAAGGCCTCGAGCACCCGCCCTCCCGGGCCCGTGGGCACGCACGTCGATGCCCAAGCAGGCAGCCAGAGGTGGGTGCGAAGGGCTGAGCTGCTCTGTGGGGCAGGGCCGGGGCAAGCTGTTGTCATGGCGACACAGGGCCTCGAGCCCGGATGCCGAGGGAAAGCCGTCCAGCGGGAGATGGGTGTAGAGAAGGCAGCTGAGGACAGAAAGGCTGAGGTCAGCCACAGGGACCCCCAGCACCCAGGAGCTGACCCCGGAAGGCTGCTGCTGGGGGTCCCGGCCCTCACCCCGTGGGCCCTCACTTTTCCTGGGAGTTCTGTGCAGACGGCCTGTAGGTGCAGGCCTCGGTCACTCGGAGCTGCAGGAGCGCCGCCTCATAGTAAGCGCTGGGCAGCAGGACCACGTAGTCCTGGTGAGGACAGAAGGCGGGTGCTGAGGCTCTTTGGCCCAGGGCCTGTCCCCCCACCTACCTTGGTCCCCGCCTCACCAGGAGCACCCCTTCCGCCTCCACAAGAAGGGCCCAGATGCCAGGGTTTAGTACAAAGGGCTCCCCAAAGCCCCTCTGGGGCACAGTGACAAAGGCAGGCTCAGTGCTGGGCAGAAAGGTCACCGGCTGGCTCTGCTCCGTGCCTGGGAGGATGGGGAAGAAGGAAGGGAGATCCTGCCTCGGCTCTCAGGCCTCCCCAACCTGACCGCCCTCCCGTGGTGTGTGGGCACGCGCCAGGGCCAAGCACCCTTCCGGGAGTCGGGGGAGACTGCTGGGGCTGGAGGAATGGAGCAGCGGTGCAGGGCAGGGTGCGCCCGGCAGCCCCGACTCACAGTTGACACAGGCGACAAGCTTGGCCTCCTCGTGCATGGAGACCCGCCCGCTCACGCTGGTGGGCCCCCGGTTCACATAGCGGAAGACCAGGCGAAAGAGGTCAGGAGAGGTCACGTTCAGCCTGGCCACAATCCTGGGCTGGGGGTGGGGGGATGGGCACAGAGTGTCAGGTCATTGCGGCCATGACCAGCATGGTCCTGTGACCCTCCCGGGTGCTGCCTGCTCTGCCGGCCACGCCAGGAGCTGGGAGACATTCAGAGAAGCGGGAGGGATGGGGTGGGGCGCGGCGCCACCTGGATGGGAGACATGTGGGCAAAGCCCCTCCAACTGAAGTTCTCGAATTCCAGGGGGTTGAAGCCAAAGCGCACGGCGTGGCCTGCGGGCGTGGTCGCCTCCTCCAGCTCCAGCCGCAGGTGGTGCAGGCTGGGCAGGTAGTGGTTCTTTGCCGGCCTGTGGCGGCACAGGTGAATGGGTAGGCGGGCACAGGACCCTCAGAGCCACCCAGATCCCTAGGGGCAGCCAGGTCCCGGGTGCCCAGGGAAGGGACGCGGGGATGGGGGGCGCACTCCGGGGAGCTCACTCGCTGCAGGTGAGGCCCTGTGTGTGGGGCCGGCACCGGCAGGCCCCCGTCTTTGGTTCACAGCCCTGGCCCAGAGCACCACCAACATCGCACTGGCAGCCTGCAGCCAGAAGGGAGGTTGTCAGACACTACGCCTCGGCGAGCCCTCCCCCCGCGCCCCGCCTCGGCCCCTCCATCGCAGGGGCAGCCTGGGGCTGGAGTGCCGGCTCAGAGGTGAGAACACAGAAGCGGTGCCTCTTCCACCTCTGCCAGGGTCTGGGCGGCGTCAGGGCGTCGTGTGCTCAGACGACCACCCCTTGCCATGGCCAGCGAGAGACCGCGGCCTGCTGGACCCCGCGTCTCTCCTGGACCTCCACCTCCCAGCCAGAGCCGGGGCAGCGGCGTGGGCCTGGCACCAGTGAGACGCTTACTGCGGCAGCCAAAGTAGTCAGCCTGGTCCAGCCCGAAGAAGCCGTCCTTGCACGCGGAACAAGTCTGCCCACACACATGGGCCTTGCAGAAGCAATGGCCGCTGCCCTGGTGCCAGAAGAGAAATGGGGGGTGAGAGGGAGGTCCCCCGGCCCACCGGCCCGTGGTGCTCGGCACCCTGGTCCTCACTCACCGGCCGGCACCCCTTCACTCCTCCCAGCGTGCCCCTGGGGTCGCAGCTGCATCCTGGGGAGGGCAGAGCAGGTCTAAGGAACTCGGGGGGCAGGAGGGCACGGGTGTCACCCACCCTCTCACCCCCACACCCCCACGAGGGCCGACTTACGGGTACAGCCCTCGGGGTTGCTGGAGCTCAGCCCCCAGTACCCAGGTTTGCAGCGGTCGCAGCTTGGCCCCTCCACGTGAGTCCGGCACGTGCAGGGGGCCTGGGGGAAACAGACGAGACACCATAAGAGTGGGGCCCTGGCCTCGAACCTGCAACCTCTCAGTTCTGGAGTCTTAACAGGGGGAGGGGGGCTCTCCTGCCCTGCCTCAGGCCCAGGAATCTCCGGGAAGAACAAAGGGCCAACAGGAGGCACAGGCCTGCCCGTGGTTGCCCTGGCAACTCAACAAGCAGGATGCTTTGGGCGGGGGAGGGGAGGGTGTCAGGGGCTTGGGGCCAAGGCTGGCGTGACCCCCAGCACCTTCCAGCACCTTCCTGCTCAAGGGCCGGCCTGCGCTCACCTCAGGAAGCGAAGGGCTGGCTGGGGCCTGGCCTGCGGGGTGACAGGGTCCAGCTAGAGATAAGCAAGTCAGAGTCATTCCCCGGGGACTGGTCGGCCCAGAACCGCATTCCCATGGGAGCAGGAACCACAGCCCATGGCTGTGACCAGGTGAGGACACCTCTGGACAGCACCACCCACACATCCTGTGACACGCACACACACGCATGCAGCCACGTGAACACCAGCACGACTATTTGAAAAGCATGCGTACAGACACGTGGGTGCACATCACACGCACACAAATACACGCAGAGTGTGGGTGCACAGGGGGTGACCTCAGGAAGGCACGATGAGCATGAACGGCACCCAGACACACGTGGACGTGGACACCATCGCTCCCCACCCCAGCTCACCTTCGCAGTGGGGAAAGTCGTAGGTGCCAGGCACACACGCATCACAGCGCAGCCCCGTCACACGGGGCCGGCAGCTACACTGCCCGCTCTGGGGGTCACAGGCTGTGTCCAAGGAGCCCTCGGCGGAGCAGTGGCAGGCTGAGGAGGGCAGGGCGAAAGCAGGAGTGGGGGCCGTGCTCCCCCCCACCCCAGGACACTCACGGACACAGGGAAGCCGTGGAAGCCCGCCCCCCCTGCCCCACCCCCACCCCAGGACACTCACGGACACAGGGAAGCCGTGGAAGCCTCCCCCCCCACCCCAGGCCCCAGGACACTCACGGACACAGGGAAGCCGTGGAAGCCCCCCCTGCCCTCCCACCCCAGGACACTCACGGACGCAGGGAAGCCGTGGAAGCCCCCCCTGCCCCACCCCCACCCCAGGTCACTCACGGACACAGGGAAGCCGTGGAAGCCCCCCCTGCCCCACCCCCACCCCAGGACACTCACGGACACAGGGAAGCCGTGGAAACTGCCCCCCCACCCCCACCCCAGGACACTCACGGACACAGGGAAGCCGTGGAAGCCCCCCCTGCCCCACCCCCACCCCAGGACACTCACGGACACAGGGAAGCCGTGGAAGCCCCCCCTGCCCCACCCCCACCCCAGGACACTCACGGACACAGGGAAGCCGTGGAAACTGCCCCCCCACCCCCCCACCCCAGGACACTCACGGACACAGGGAAGCCGTGGAAGCCCCCCCTGCCCCACCCCCACCCCAGGACACTCACGGACACAGGGAAGCCGTGGAAGCCCCCCCTGCCCCACCCCCACCCCAGGACACTCACGGACACAGGGAAGCCGTGGAAACTGCCCCCCCACCCCCCCACCCCAGGACACTCACGGACACAGGGAAGCCGAGGAAGCCCCCCCTACCCCACCCCCACCCCAGGACACTCACGGACACAGGGAAGCCGAGGAAGCCCCCCCTACCCCACCCCAGGACACTCACGGACGCAGGGAAGCTGTGGAAGCCCCCCCTGCCCCACCCCACCCCAGGACACTCACGGACACAGGGAAGCCGTGGAAACTGCCCACACCCCACTCCCCACCCCCAGGACACTCATGGACACAGGGAAGCCGTGGAAACTGCCCCACCCCCACCCCAGGACACTCACGGACACAGGGAAGCCGAGGAAGCCCCCCCTACCCCATCCCCACCCCAGGACACTCACGGACACAGGGAAGCCGAGGAAGCCCCCCCCCCCACCCCAGGACACTCACGGACGCAGGGAAGCCGAGGAAGCCTCCCCCTCCCCACCCCCCCACCCCAGGACACTCACGGACGCAGGCAGGGAAGCCGTGGAAGCCGGGGCTGCATTCATGGCAGGCGGAGCCCATGTAGCCAGGACGGCAGCGGCAGGAGCCACCTGCTCCACAGAGCTGGTCCAGGGCTCCCCGGGGGTCGCAGGCACAGGCTGCGGGGCACAGTGGGGGTCAGGCTCCGGCACCTTGCAGGTACCCAGCTCCTTCTTGTCCCGGCCCCCTCGCTCACCGCGGCAGTTGGGGTAACCGTGGTGGTCAGGGCGACAGCGATCGCAGTGTGGGCCCTCGAACCCGGGCCGGCAGGGGCAGCGGCCCTCCTCGTCGCAGCCTCCGGGCAGGGTCCCCGCAGGGCTGCAGCCACACACTGCGGAGCACAGCTTGTCACGGGGGCCCGGGGCCTCGCGGGCTAGGCCCCCCCCCCGGCCCCGGGCCCCCTCGGTGGGGTGGTACTCACGCTGGCAGAGGGGGAAGTGGAAGTAGCCAGGGGCGCAGCGGTTGCACTCAGCCCCCTCGAAGCCCCCTCGGCACTGGCACTGGCCTGAGTCCGGGTCGCAGATGCCACTGTCCACCCCAGGGCTGGAGCACTGGCAGGCTGCAGGAAGGGGGATGCCAGGCCCGGTCAGCGCCCAGGCGGTGCGGGGCACTCGCGCGCGGGAGAGGACGGGGTCTGCACTCACGCTGGCAGCCAGGGCCGTAGAACCCAGGCCTGCAGAGCTCACAGTGGGCACCCTGGAAGTTGGGCTTGCACACGCAGCGGCCCAGGTGCGGGTCCTTCCGGCAGGCATTGCCCACAGTCCCTGCGGCGCTGCAGTCACAGTCTGCAAGGAGGGGGTGGGGGAGGCTCAGACCCCTTCCCCTCCCCCAGGAAAACCAGCTTCCCGCTCACACTGGGTCTTGTTCCCGTAACGAGTGTCTGCATTACACGAGTTAATTATACAAAGGGAGGGCATCGTGGTGTGACAGTCCCATACACGCACAGAACGTACTTTATGTCACCTCTCTATTGCTCTCTCTCTCTCTTTTTTTTTTTTTGTCAGTTGTGGGGCTTGAACTCTGGGCTTGGGCGCTGTCCCTCAGCTCTTCAGCTCAAGCTGAACACTCTACCACTTGAGCCACAGCACCACTTCCAGTTTTCAAGTGGTTATTGGAGATAAGAGTCTCACGGATAGCCGGGCGCTGGTGGCTCACGCCTGTAATCCTAGCTACTCAGGAGGCTGAGATCTGAGGATCGCGGTTCAAAGCCAGCCCGGGCAAGAAAGACCGTGAGACTCCTATCTCCAATAAACCACCAGAAAACCGGGAGTGGCGCTGTAGCTCAAGTGGTAGAGCGCTCGCCTTGAGCTGAAGAGCTGAGGGACAGCGCCCAGGCCCAGAGTTCAAGCCCCACGACCGACAAAAAAAAAAAAAAGAGTCTCACGGACTTTCTTGCCTGGGCTGGCTTTGAACCGCGATCCTCAGATCTCAGCCTCCTGAGTAGCTAGGATTACAGGCGTGAGCCATCGGCACCCAGCTTGCTCTTTGTTTCCTACACTATTTTGTATGATACTAACTAGAAATTAAGATAACAAAAATTTCAAGGGAAATAGTATTTTGGCACACCAGAACTGCAACGGCGCTCATACAGTCCAAGCTCACCGCAAGCCCAAAGGCAGAGCAACAAACAGAACCCCAGCACGCGCAACAGAAACTTCTGGTGTCTTTATAAACAATTCTAAGGTGGGAAGAAGAAAGAAAGAACATGAAAGGGGCATTCTGAATACACTTAATATTTGTTCTCAACAGAAAAAACTGTTCATAATCTGTCACAAATGTAAAAAAGCTGGGCACTGGGGGCTCACATCTGAAGTCCTAGCTACTCAGGAGGCTGAGGAATGGAGGAAGAAAAGAAGGAAGGAAGGGAGGGAGGGAGGGAGGGAGGGAGGGAGGAAGGGAGGGAGGGAGGGAGGACCATAGGAATAGAGAATTAAAAAGTACAGAGAATGTTGACCATAACTTTAGGCCACTATATCTGGATGTGCAACATAAACAATTTGCTAGGAAAAATAACCAAAAGATGTAAAATGAGGCCAAAATGTGGCCGATAACATCATGGAAGAACTTAAAATCTTCATCAAATATCTCTTTTGAAAACAAGGCCTTGCCTACAATCCTTTCAGGCAGAACAAGAGGATCACAAGTTTGAGGCCAGCCAGAGCTACAGAGTGAAACTGCTTCAAAACAGAGGGAAGGAAAGAAAGTGGAGCATGCTAGGCAAGCACTCCGCCTTCCAGCTTTAACCCAGCACTAATGCATGTGATTTTTAAACTCATCTGTTCGTAGAAGAACATGGCCAATTTCCCAAGGATTTTGCTAAACCAAAACATGGTAGCACACAGACAAAAATGAGAAGCTGTCAACCAGTCTTGCTCATGGAAGCAGACCCAAGGAAACAACTTATGTTCAGCCTGAGCTATCAGGAAAGGCAGCAATTTATTGTATAATATACAAATTTAAAGTGGAATACTATACAGCCCTAGGTAACTTACCATGGACCCACAGAGAAAGAATTTTCATAGTCTACACCAGGAATTTGGCAAACTACAGTGCAAGAACTCCTCTGTTTTTATAAATAAAGTTTTATTGGAAGTAACACCAGCCCACTTGCTCCAATATGGTCTACGGCTAGCTGCAACCTAGTGGCAGAAGCCGCAGAGCTGGGCAGAATCCAGACATTACATTTTACTGTGTGTACTATGATGAAAACCTACATATACTCATATAATCCTTCCGGGTGCCAGTGGCTCGTGTCTGTGATCCTGGTTTAAGGCCAGTCTAGGCAAAAATTATGTGATACCCCATCTCACTCAATAGAAACTCAGTGTGGTAACATGTGTCTGCCATCCCAGATACAGAGAAGTATAAATAGGAGGCTCACTCTGTAGGTTGGTCCCAGCAAAAAGACGCTATTTGGAAAATAACAGAAGCAAAAAGACTGAGGGCATGGCTCAAATGGTAACACACAGGCCTAGCAAGCACAAGGCCCGGAGCTGCAAGCCAAAAAAGAAAAAAAAAAAGAGGCAGGGAAGGAAAGAACCTAAATTCCCAACAATGCGAGACTGGTAAAATAAGCGCTCTGTGTGACACAGACTGTAAAGGACACGTCCGTGGGGCCCTGTGGGTGAGGCAAGCAGTGAGTGAGCTGTGTGTGCACACTCGCGTGTGCAAAGCACGCCCACGTGGGCACCGGGAGCTCAGGCAGCACGGAAAGCCGTCGTTTCCTTTCATTTGTTTATTTTTGGCTGGGCACTGCAGATGGAAAATAGGGCTTGTACGTGCTCATCATGCATCTGCCACTGAGATACAGTATTTTTTTAAGGTATTTTCCAGGGTGAATATGCTTTATTTGTATAAAAATAAATGAGTCAGCTTGGTGCTGGTGGCTCACGCCTGTCATCCTAGCTACTCAAGAGGCGGAGATCTGTGGATCTCAGTTCAAAAGCCAGCCCAGGCAGGAAATCCATGAGACTCTTATCTCCAATTAACCATCAAAAAGCCAAAAGTGGAGCTGTGACTCAAGTGATAGAGCATTAGCCTTGAGCAAAAAAGCTCAGGGACAGCGCTCAGACCCTGAGTTCAGGCTCCAGGACTGGCACGCGTGCACTCACTCATACACATAGGCACGCGCACACAGGCAGTGACTAAGATGGACACTCATGCTTCATCACGGCTTCCAGCCCTGCGGCCAACCTGGGGACCGACCGTGGGGGCATACTTACTCACGATCTGTCCAGCCGGCAGCACCTGCTCCCCGGTAGTGTTGAGGGAGAATGTGGGCACAGCTGAGCAGAAGAGACACCCTATCAGCCAGGGCTGCCGGGCCCCCGTCGGCCCCGCCCCCAGTGCCCTGCCCCACGGGGCTCCCCAGCCGTGGGCAGTGGACTGGCCTCCCCCAGCCCCGGCTCCGCGCGGCCCTCACGGTAGCAGTGCGGGAAGCCGGCGAAGCCCTCGGCGCACTCGTGGCACTGCGCCCCTGTGTAGTTTGGCCGGCAGTAGCAGCGGCCCGTCAGGTCTTCGCACGTGCCATCCGTGAAGTCTGACTCGCAGCTGCAGCCTGGGGAGAGGAGGCGGTGGCTGGGGACACCTAGTTCTCGGAGGGCCAGGGGGCGAGGCCTCCAGCGGGCAGGCGAGACCCTAGGTCCCCCGAGCCCTCTCCTCAGCCACCCAGGCGCCCACCCCACCGGGCCACTCACGGCGGCAGGCGTGGGGAGAGTCGAGTGGGTGGTCTGGCGCGCGGTAGAAGCCGGGCAGGCAACGCTCGCAGTTGATGCCGGTGGTGTGATGCTGGGGGCAGGGGCTGCTGAGTCCAGGCCAGCCCGGGCCTGTGCCTGTGCCCACCCCCGGCGCCTCCCCGCCCCCCCCGCAGTGTACCTGGCAGTTGATGCACACGCCCCCACCCTGGTACACACTGTCCTGGTTCTGGCTGGCGTTGCGCTGGTCCACTTCGGGGTCGTAGTAGCAGTCGTGGGCATGGCCGTGGCAGTTACAGGCTGGGGAGAATCCGCAGTCAGCCGCCCTCCCCAGCGCCGAGCCCCAGGGCCCGGCCCTCCTGAGAGCCCAGGGCGCCCAGAGGTGGGTGGGGCACTCACGCTGGCACTCGTTGGCACTGTCGGTGGTGGCCGGCTTCCACCGCTGCTGGTTGAAGCCGGGGCAGCAGCGGTCACAGGAGCCCCCGCACGTGTTGTGCTGGCAAGCGCACTGCAGCCTGTGGGGGGCACGGTGGGGCTGGGGTCCGCCCGGGCAGAGGGCCAGCGCCAAGGGCAGGACTTCAGTCCCTGCCTCGAAGGAGCCTGTAGTCCGTGCTGCTCTAACAGCCAGCTCCTACTCAGACCTCCCTCCCTCTACCCTGGGGGCTCTGAACAACACAAGGGCCGGGGACGGGGGGAGAGGGGGAAAAGGTGGAGGGAAGAGGGTCACAGTGACACGGTGCAGGTGGTCCTGGAGGCTGGGGCGCATGCTGCAGGTGGGGTGGGACCCCGGCAACCAGGTGACCTGGCCATCCTTCCCACCACGGCCAGCACCCAGCCAGCTCCCAGGGAAGACACATCTGTCCCCTCTGAGGTCAGGACCCCACTGGACAGGCAACCCCTTGGCAGGACAGGGCCAGCTGAGGAGGCTCACCCAGCACCACCTCTCTGCCTGGCTGTGCAGAATGGGAAACTGAGACCCACACCCAACTCGACCATCTCCATCCCTCTGGGTGAAGACAGGCAGGACTTACCTGAAAGGGTGGGAGGGGTCTTTAGCATCGCAGACGTCTGCATGGCCGTGGCAGACGCAGCGGCCACCAATGCTGATGTCCTTGATGCTGTAATAGTACTGTGCCCATGGCCCATGAGTGCGGGGGGGTCACTCCATTCCCCCCCAACCTGGCCTCAGCCTCGGCTGGGGGCTTCTGCAGAGAGCCAGCTCCTCCTCCCTCCCCCGGCTCGGCCTCCCCCCTCCCCGGGCCTAGGCCCGCGAGCTCACCCGGCGGGTGACAGTGGGGTCCCGCAGAGCCTTGCCCATGAGGTGGCCCAGCAGCGTGTTGGTGCGCAGGAAGCGCAGCCGGATATTGGTGGCTTTGGTGAAGTCTCGAAGCAGGGGTGAGTAGGAGAAGTTCATGGCCCCCGGGCGTCCATTCACCAGGGACACCACAATCTGCGGACAGCGTGACCGGTGAGGCTGGGCGTGGCCACCCGCCCACGCCGCCAGACGGCCGGCCCGCACGCGCTGCCCCATGCCCACCTCGCCATTCTCCAGGGGTACTATGCGCGAGTACTCGGTGGTGCAGATGACGTCGTCGTCCCGCATGATCCGCTCCAGGGTGTGAGGCCCAAACCGCTCCAGACAGTCCCTTTTGGAGGCTAGAGAGAGCGATGGGAAGGTGAGCACCGGGCCGGCCGGACACAGGGATCCCAGCGCCAGGCACAGGGCTGCGTCTCGCCCGGCAGCAGCCCACCCACCCATGTTCCACTGGCTGTGGGACTTGTGGAAGACAGAGGGAAGTCTGGCTGATGGCAGTCTGTCCTGCTGGGTCAGGGAGGTGGGAGACCTGTGCAGAACTAACTAGCTCATACCCGATGGCTGGCCCTCTCCCTGGAAAATGCCAGAACAAGTTCCCCCTGGCCCTTTCCAGGGCACCATCCCCTATTCTTGGCTGAGGAGTTTTGAGGGTCATGTGACCAGGCTGTGTAACTGAAGCATTTGCATGCTGCCAATATGGCCGGCCAGGGACACTGCCGCTAGCCTCACATAGACGGCTGAGCGGGCAGGAAGTGGGCTTAGAGCCACCCAAGCAGCCCCATCGCCATGGGGGCAGCCCAAGCTGAAGCCTCCACCAGGAGACAGCCCGGAGCGGCACTGACTGTGGCTGACATCAGAATGAAACCAGCAAACTCCGCCTTCGGGGACCCGCATCCTCGGTCCTGGCCCTGTGGAGGTTGGCACCGGGCAGGGCTTGGTGTCTGGGGCCTCGGAAAAGTGTGGCAATGGCAATCCAGCCCGTTCCAGGAATACCCCAGACCCCGTGGCCCCGGGACACTCACAGGCAAAGAACTGCCACGGCTGGTAGGTGTGGCCGAAGTCCGTGGACCGCTCCAGCACCCAGAGGTCTGGCCGAGGAGAGTTGGCAAACTTGATGAGCACATAGGCGACATGGAAAACCTGCAGGGGGGTGTGGCAAGGGCGTCAGGGTGCCTCGGCCCCTTCCACCCCCTGCCCTCTTAGGTGTGGTGCAGAGGACCCCCAGCTCCACCAGGGAACTCATCTCTCCTGGGAACAACAGAAACCAGCCCTTGCTGAAAGGTTCCCTCCTGATCCTGGGCGTACCTAGATGCAGGACCTAGACCCCCAGCCTCCTCCCCAGCCCCTCCTCAGGGGCCCGGGGCCATCTTGGTCCGTTGGACTCAGGCCTGGTGGGGGGTGGTCAGGGCACGCTAGGTGGGCACACAGGAACCTGGCTGCAGGCCTGGGCAGTAGGCCTGGGCAAGGAGATGGAGACACATCCCAGGCTCCCGGCCAGGACTGAGGGCTGGAAAGCCCAGCTCCCAAGCTAGCCTGGCCTCCTGCGGGGATGGAGCCTCACCGGGTCGCCACCCCAGGACCTTCCACCTTTATGTTAACCAGCTCTTTGAGGCCTCTGGGGAACCACACAGCACAGAGCAGGGGCTCACCAGCCATGCCTCAGTGCCCAGGGAGGAGGGGGGTGCCTCACCAGCCAGGCCTCGACATACGGAGCGGGCTCACCAGCCAGGCCTCGACACACGGAGCAGGCTCACCAGCCAGGCCTCGACACACGGAGCGGGCTCACCAGCCAGGCCTCGGTGCCCAGGGGGGAGGGGGGTGCCTCACCAGCCAGGCCTCGACACACGGAGCGGGCTCACCAGCCAGGCCTCGACACACGGAGCGGGCTCACCAGCCAGGCCTCGGTGTCCAGGTGGGAAGGGGGTGCCTCACCAGCCAGGCCTCGACACACGGAGCGGGCTCACCAGCCAGGCCTCGACACACGGAGCGGGCTCACCAGCCAGGCCTCGACACACGCAGCGGGCTCACCAGCCAGGCCTCGACACACGGAGCAGGCTCACCAGCCAGGCCTCGACACACGGAGCAGGCTCACCAGCCAGGCCTCGACACACGGAGCGGGCTCACCAGCCAGGCCTCGACACACGGAGCGGGCTCACCAGCCAGGCCTCGACACACGGAGCGGGCTCACCAGCCAGGCCTCGGTGCCCAGGGGGGAGGGGGGTGCCTCACCAGCCAGGCCTCGACACACGGAGCGGGCTCACCAGCCAGGCCTCGGTGCATTGGGGCGCCAGAATGCTGAGGCCCGCCCTGAGTCTGGCCTCCCTGCTCTCTCCCTTGCAGGGTAGGTGTTGTCCACGCTGAGGCTGAGGAGGGCTTGTCTTCCTGGCCGCCCTCTATGCCTGCCCCCTAAAGCTTGCTGGAGCCCAGCCCCATCCACACAGCCGCCACGGGACGTCTCGGACACATTCTCCAGGAAGTCCTTCCTGAGTTTAGCTTATCTATTCCCCCGCTTTCTCAGGAAACCCCCAGCTGTCTTCCCTCCACACACTGTGCTGCCTTCCCCTCACCAGCCCCTCCCCCCCATGGTCTTTCAGCCGAGATACCTCCACTCTCAGTCTCACCAGTACATACTCCGTGGTGACCCTCCGGGCCCAGGGCTGGATGTGCACACGAAGCGTGTGGGCCCAAGATCAGGAGGAAGAGGGCAGTTTGTTGGGGTCACCATAGGGGAGCAAGGCCCTGGTGTGAAGTGGACTTGGGGTAGAGGGAGCAGTCTGATCCTCCGAGGAGCTTGGCCTGGCCTGGGACAGCTCCCTGAGACAGCACTTGCTCAGCCTGTGCACCCTTGGTTCAATTCCCAGAACTGAAGCTGTGGGGCCAGGCCTCACCCGTCAGCAGCAAGCCCTTCAGCCACTTGCACACTGAGGCTCTCCCACCCCAGCTCCTACCCCGGGCCCAGCTCCTACCCCGGGCCCAGCTCCTACCCCGGGCTCAGCTCCTACCCAGGGCCCAGCTCCTACCTCAGGCTCAGCTCCTACCCCGGGCCCAGCTCCTACCCCGGGCCCAGCTCCTACCCCGGGCCCAGCTCCTACCCCGGGCTCAGCTCCTACCCAGGGCTCAGCTCCTATCCCAGGCTCAGCTCCTACCCCAGGCTCAGCTCCTACCCCGGGCTCAGCTCCTACCCTCAGGCTCAGCTCCTACTTATTGGCACAAGGAGACTGATTTCCACATCCTGCCCAGAGTCCTAGACCTCCATGGGCTATTACCCACACCCCCAAGTCTGGCTGGGCACAGCCAAGAGGCACGGACCCATCCTGGAACCCACTGCTCTGGGATTTCTCACCACAGCAGGTGTCAGTAAGCAGGCTACCACCCTGAAGCCTAAGGCTCCCTAGGCAAGCCCCCAGGGCCGCACAGGGCCCAGTCGCCTTGCCCCAAGTGGCCTGAGCCAGCCTGGGACCCACATGGAAGCTTCTTCAGCTCCAGCTTGAGGAGGTACAGCTGCAGGATGCCAGTGCAGGGGAGGCCCAGGGACCCTGACATGGCCCGGCTGCTGCCCCTGCCAGAAGCCTGGTAGCATAGGCACCATGGGCTGGAGCCAAGCCCAGCCTCCCTGGGTAGGGGCCAGGCCTATTTATCGCTGCCAGCTGAGGTCATCCACTGCTTCCCCATTGGGGGTTGTGGGTGTGGGGGGAGGGCTCCGTCCCTGCGCCCAGCCCCGCCCCTCGCCTGGAGCTCTGCAGAGGCTGCGGGCGCTTGATCGTCCCAGGCCAGAGTGGGGTCTGCGGAGGATCAGGGGCAGGAGGGAGCACTCGGGCATGCAGACGTGGGCTGCCCTAGCTGCCCCTCCTTCCCCGAGCAGAGCTCGGGGCTGTTTGCTTGCCCGCTGCCCCGTCCCTCCCAGGTCCGCAGGCCCCACATTTTTCCCAGCTGAGAGCACTTTCACAAATATTGACTCCGAGATGCTGACGGCAGGGTACGGGGCATGGAAACTTCCGTCCCTCAGCCTGGATGCACTCAGATCCCAGTCACCCGTCCGTCCTTCCATCCATCCATCTGTCCGTCCATCCAAGCCTTTTCTGTCAGGTGGAGCCCTGGACAACTAACTGTCCTGAAGAATCTCCTGTTGGCACAGACCCTCGAGGGAGAGCCCCTGTCTGTCCCTCTCCACTCCCAGGGGTCCAACAGCATCCTCGGTATGCGCACGGAGGGGTGAGGACCCTGGCCCTCCCTGGCCATGGCCCCTCCCCGCCCGGCCTGCTTCCCTCAGCCGCCAGCTTCGGCTGACCTTTCTGCTGCTGCATAGTTCCGTACAAAAGGGAAAAAAAAATGTCTTTTAAAGCAAAAGCCAAACAAAAGCCGCGGTTATTTTTATACATCTGGCTATTTTGGGGCAGGCACGTCTCCAGAGCGGCAGCCGGGGCAGGCTCTTAGCCCCCATGCCCTCCTGCCCTGGCCCAGCCCGACCTCCGAGGGCCAAGGCTCCCAAAAGAGGGCTCTGCCCTTCCACCCTGCCCATCAGGGAGTTGGCAAGGGCCCCAGCGGCCAGGCCAAGACAGGAGCCCAGGGCAGCACTAGATCTCAGGGCAGTGAGAACCGGCGGCACAGCCCTCTGAGGACATAAAGAGTGGGAAGAGACCGTCACCACGGGGTAGCCGCGAGGAGAGCGGCACTTGTCCCGCTGGCTGGCAAGCAGAAGACGGCAGCCCCCTGACAGATGCTACAGAGGGTGCCCCGGGCGCCCCACACCTGGGCATTGTGAGGCCAGAGAGAGCAGTGAGCAGAACCGGGCCTGGCATCATCATCGCGGTGAGGCTGAGGGAGGGCGGCTGGCCCTGGGGTGAGGTGGGTGGCGAGCCCGCCGGCTGCCCCCGCAGGCTGCCCCCGCAGGCTGTGGCCAGGCGTCGCAGGGGACCTGCAGGAGGGGTTCCCTTCGGCACCCACAGTCCCCTTGGGGGCTGTGGAGACCCGGGCTGCACAGGTGGCTGCACATGTCCTGGAGCTCTCCCCGGCGGTGTGACTCAGCCCGCGGCCGATGACTCAGCCCTGACCCAGCAGGAAGGAGGCTCTGTACCAATTCCTGGGCCTGGCCAGGGGGCCCTGGCAGCAGGAAGCCCCTCCTAGCCCGGGGTGTGAGGGATATCTGGCCACTGCCCTGACCGCTCCCTCCGGATCTTGGGGACTTACAGTCTCTGTGTCCTGCCTGTTAGCTTGGCCTCGGAGGCCCTGAGTGGGCCCTGGGCCAGCTGCCAGAACTTGCCAGCCCTCTCAGGTGCCCTCCTGCCTGGCAGACCCCACTTGGGAACCTGCTAACCCCACAGTAGGAGCCAGGGTGGCCGGGCCAGTGCAGGACAGCTACTCAGAGCCCATCTGGGTAACTAGCCTCCCTTTGGCTCATCAGAGCTAAAACACGGGGACCCGCCCCAGAGAGAAAGTAAAATGGACAAGCCAAGCATGCCACCCAGCGAGCCCACTGCCCAGAAACAAAAATGAGAACACGGGGCGCACTGAGCCCATGAGCCCCTGACCTGCGGGGGTCCCCAGCAGGGTGGGGGAGAAGGGCCTGCTGGGGGACAGGACCTCACTAGCCGCGGCAGAGCACGAGCCCAGTGGGAGGGAAAAGCCGGGGGAGAGCAAGGAAGAGGTGACCCTGTTCAGAAAGAAATGAGCTCACAATCTGACTCAAATAGCTGTGACCCGTCCGTGCCTCACCTTTGTCACAACAGCTACAACCACAGAACCAAGGGGGCCTGTGCAGAGGCAGGGCTGGGCTGGGGTGGACCAGATGGCCTGCTGGCCACAGGAAGTCAAGCTTATCCCCAGGGGACCCCACGGCTGAAACCCAAACAGTTTAGTCTCCACTGAGAGGTACGGCGAGAGGTCACCAGGCCGACGTGCTGGGGTTTGTTTAAAAACTCAGAAAACAGGAAGCCTTAGGGGGTCCCCAGGACCGGGGGGGGGGGGGGTTCTGGCGGGCAGCAGGAGCAAGAGTGAGCGAGGGACAAGGGTGCCACAGACAGATGCGTGTGGCCTAGAACATAAAAGGCTGGGCTGGGAGGAACAGCCCGCCTGGCTCCAGCAGTCCCTTGCTGGGCCCTCCACCAAACAAGGACAGGAAGAGAGGGAGAGGGTGGGCAAAGGGAGAGGGTAGGCAGAGGGAGGGGTGGGCAGAGGGAGGGGGTGGGCAGAGGGAGGGGTGGGCAGAGGGAAGGGGTGGGCAGAGGGAGGAGGTGGGCAGAGGGAGGGGTGGGCAGAGGGAGGGGGTGGGCAGAGGGAGGGGGTGAGCAGAGGGAGGGGGTGGGCAGAGGGAGGGGGTGGGCAGAGGGAAGGGGTGGGCAGAGGGAGGGGGTGGGCAGAGGGAGGGGGTGGGCAGAGGGAGGGGGTGGGCAGAGGGAGGGGGTGGGCAGAGGGAGGGGTGGGCAGAGGGAAGGGGTGGGCAGAGGGAGGGGTGGGCAGAGGGAAGGGGTGGGCAGAGGGAGGGGGTGGGCAGAGGGAGGGGGTGGGCAGAGGGAGGTGCTGCCTCACGCTTGGCCTGGGACCTGCCCACAGGACCCCCCAACACCACCCCATGCACAGGGAGCACAGCTAGAAGAGCTGGTGGGCCCAGCCCTGCACCTGACCAGCACGGACCAGCAGCGAGCTCTGCAACTGAGGCCTGCCCACAGCTGTACTTCCTGTCACTTCCTTGGACAACGCGCTGATCCTCTCAGGACGCTGGCCACCTGGACAAGTGCCCAGCTGGGCCCAGGGAGTCGTGCCAGTGGCTTCAGCCTGGTAACCACCTGGCCAGAAGGCCTGACCGGGAGCCCAGCCCAGCCTGTTCGAGAGCAGGCAGGACAGGGCAGGTCTGCAGGGCACAGCCGGACTGCCATGCCTGCCTGTTTCCCTCTTACAGAGGAGAAAAGAGCCCAGAGCCCAGACACCTGGCCATAGCCATCCTCAGCATCAACTTCAGATATCAGCAGAGGGCTCTGGTCAGGACCCTGGTGCTGTCCCTGTCAGAACCCCTGCCTCAGTTTCCCCCAGTGCCCACAGAGGACTGCACTCGTCAGTAGGTCCTCCAGAATTCTACTTCTTTACTACTTCTATCTGGTGAGGAACAGGACACACACACACACACACACACACACACACACACACACACACACAGTGTGATGCTACTCAACACACACATACATACACAGTGTGATGCTACTAACACACACACACACACACACACACACACACACACACACACACACACACACACACACACACACACACACCTGTGCGATGCTACTCCCTACTCCAGACCCCCGCTCATGGTTGCCCACACTCCCAGGGCTCAGGCCTCTTTGACCAGGGTGCTTCCCGCTGCTGGGAGCCCAGCATGGCCAGAGCCATCCCAATTCATCCTCAGGACCTGGGCACACCGGACTGGTAGGGTGGGCCCGGGCTCTGCGGCAGAGCCTGAGTGGCAAAGACGGGCCTGCTCCCGGAGCACAGGGTCTGCAGGGACTCTGGGCAGGGGCAGCAGCCAGCCACCTGATAACCGCCCCACAGCTTGGGAAGGACATGACAAATTCATAGAGCTCCTACCTTCAGGCCCGAGTCAAGTGGGAACGCAGGTAACTGTCCCTTCATTTACTGGGGACCTTCTTCCACAGGAAGCGCCCTCTTCCGAGGCAGTACCAAGCCCCAGGCCCAGGATCCCCCAGGCACCTTGCCCAGATGTCACAGGGACCCGCATCTCCACTGCCCGGTCCAGTTCAGGCCCCACCCACCCGAGTGTGTGATGCTGGCAGGCAGGCAGCCCACCCCACCCTCCCTGGGCCTGCAGGACGCAGGAAGCTCCCCAGAGCTGGTGCCAGCGGCCCACCCCCTTTCCAGGGCATCCGCTCCAACCCCAGAACAAAGGCGCTAGCTGAGGCGCTTCCTGAAGGAACCTCAGCCCAGAGCCGGCTCCTCCAAGGAGCTGCCGGATGCCCTAGCACAGAACCCAGAAAGAACCCCATGGTGCAGCATGAACCCACACACCTGTCACCAGCCCAGAGCGTGTGGTGCTGAAGTGACCCCTGCCCCACACCAAGGCTTGGCTGGTGGCAGGAGCCCCGGTGGACATACCTGCACAGTCAGGAGAGTGTGGATGAGGGGAAGGAGGGAGGAAGGCAGGGAGCGGAGGGGGAGGGGACAGAGGGCTAGTGCGCTAGAAGGGGCTCCCTTCCCTGTGTCATTTCATAGTCAGTGAAGCTGCCCCTTAAGGGAGGAAAAAAGATGTCCACAAAAGGAGACCTTCTCCCAGCCCCAGACAAACGAAAGGCAGATGGACTTCAGGCCCATTCACAGATGTGGAGCCCAAGGGATGGCCTGGTCCAGGCTGGCTCAGCAAACAGCCACACTCCCTTGGCCTGGGCACCCTGGGTTGCCATAGAAACAGGCCCTCAGTGCTGCTGTCCCCCTACCCACCTACCTGGCAGATGGGTCCCTGGGGGGAGGTACAGGAAAGACAAGCCCCAACAAGAGCTCACGTACAGCTGGGTACTGGTGGCTCACTCCTGTCATCCTAGCTACTCAGGAGGCTGAGATCTGAGGATCTCGGTTCAAAGCCAGGCCCGGGCAGGAAAGTCCGTGAGACTCTTAATCTCCAGTGAACCACAAGAAAACGGGAAGTGGTGCTGTGACTCAAAGTGGTTAGAGCACTCACCTTGAGCAAAAGAGCTCAGGGCCAGGCCTTGAGTTCAAGCTCACGACCACAAAGAGAGTTCACCTATGGGGCTGGGAAGCTGGCTCAGTGGTAGAGCGCTTGCCTTGCATGCATGAGGCCCTGGGTTCGATTCCTCAGCACCATATAAGCAAAAAGAAAAAAGCCAGAAGTGGCGCTGTGGCTCAAGTGGTAGAGCGCTAGCCTTGCGCTGAAGAGCTGAGGGACAGTGCCCAGGCCCAGAGTTCAGGCCCCATGACCGGACCCAAAAAAAAAAAAAGAGTTCACTTACATACCCCATTAGAGATGCCCAACTGCTGTGCCAGTTTCACAGGTCAGGTGGAAACCAATGAGATGAAGACAATGGAACAAGCTCCATCCAGACCTGGGTCAGCTCAGAACTGAGGACGGGGAGCCAAGAAGGGGGGGAGGGTCTTCCTCGCTGCCCCCCTCCTGCCTCACCCTGCCTGCTGGGTAAACCCATTCCCCCTTAGGAATTCCAGGTCATTTACTGGACCATCTGCCTGTCCAGAGCCAGACTTACAGGCTGCCAGAAGTAGACGGCCAGTCCTAGGGACCGTTCTTCTAACCAGCTCCAGGAGACATCCCCGCAATACCCGTATGGTAGCAGGGCAACAGGCTCAGAGAGCAGAGATCCTGAGTCACACGCCTCAGCAGAGCAGGCCAGGAGTGTGGGCTCTCAGGGAGAAAGATCTGGTGATCAACCCTGAAACCTCCCCCTCCAGGCGAGGGCCTCCCCTCCAGTCCCAGGGAGTAACAGCAGAGCCAGCCCGTTCCCACGGCACCAAACCGCAACACACCGGGACGGGCAGAAGGCCTGCTTGGGCATGGGGAGCCTGCGTCACCGGGTGAGACCCAGCTACGTGAGTGGTGGTGTGACATCAGCGGCCCCAGACCCTTGTCACCATGGCAGGCATGGACCCCACCGCGCTGCAGGGCCACCGTGGGGCCCTGGGCTGCGGAGCAGGCACCTCACCCCTCACCCCAAGGTGGCCGGGGAAGCACAGGTATCCCAGGAATGTCCTCCTCCTCCACATTCCTGAGCGCGCCCCTCCCACCCCCGCCAGGAATTCCTCTGAGTAAGCCCCAGGCGCCTCTGGGGGCACCAGGGGCTGTGTGGCAGGGCTCCAGCCCTCCCTCCTTCCCTCCTGTAACCAGGGATGTGGAAGAGCACCCAGGAGGGGCTTGCGTAGGGGAGCAGTGCAGGCCAGGACGGGACCCTACCTGGCCCAGGTCCAGGGTGACGTTGACCTCATTGTACTCCAGGCCCCGGGACAGTGGAGGGCTCTGCCACCAGCGCTCGGTGCCGTCCACCGCATTGCTCACAGGGTGCGCCTTGTTACTGTTGGCCGCAGTGCAGATGTCACAGTACTGGCCCTGCAGGGGGAGGGACAGTCATGAGGCTAAAGAAGGGCTGGGCAGCGCTGTCCCTCTTGCCACCCTGCTGCCGTGATTCCAGCCCGAAGGCCATCACGCCGGCCTCTGCACCCTCCACGCATGCGAAGCACACGGAGCTCCAGAAGAGCAGGCGTGCCTGCTGTAGGAGGGCAGGCCAGGGGCGCCTACCAGCGTGGGAAAGCTGGTTCCGGGACAGGGCGGGCCAGCAAGGCACCTTCAGCCACAGGCAGAGAAGGGCAGAGGGGCCCAGCCCCAGTGGCTCACACTGTAACCCTAGCTAATAAGGGGGCTGAGCTCTGGGGATCTAGAATCGGAACCAGCCTGGGCAGGAAAGTCTATGAGACTCTAAAGTCTAATCACCAAGAAGCTAGAAGTAGAAGCGGTAGAACACCAGTCTTGAGGTTGGGAATGTGACTTAGTGGTAGAGTGCTTGCCTAGCATGGATGAAGCCCTGGGTTCCATTCCTTAGAAGAACCCAGAAGTGGTGCTGTGGCTCAAGTGGTGGAGTACTAACCTCAGGCAAAAGCAGCTCAAGGACAGCATCCAGGCCCTGAGTTCAAGCTCCAGGGGGGACTGGGGGTGGGGGTCAAATTCACTCCAGAGCCCACGCTGCCCACCAGTCCCAGGGCCTCCCATTAATCTCCAGAGGGAGATGAGGCTGTGGGCAGCACAGGCCCAGGTCCGAGTGGCAGTAGCAGGTGAGGCCTAGGCTCTCTGACTCCAATGTCTGAGCACCAGGAAGGTCTGGGCCAAGTCACGCAAGAGCCTCAGGGTCCCCATCAGCAGGGTGGAGATGGGGCGGCACCTGCCTGCCAGAAGCCCCAGCAGCTGCTCCTCACTGCCCAGCCACCTGCTGCGCCTGGCTCTGAGAAGTCCCCCCCCATGCTCTGCGGGGTGCAGGCCTACTGTCTGCATGGGGGAGGGGCAGGGCCCTGGAGGCCTGCCCACCCCCCACAGGAAACCAAACCTGCTGTCCCTACAGAACAAAGGCAGCCCCGTAGGCTTGGCGCTGATTGGGGCCCCCAGAGGCCCAGTCTTGGCAGGGCTAGGCCAGAAGGTAAGTAGGAGTGTGGGAGTATCTCCTGTCCCCACTTTCTCAGGACACATATGGCTGGGATGCAAAAGGCAACCGGCCCCTGTGGTCCAGCCAGGCGTCCCCAGGTCTCCGAGCCCAGGTGGGAGGGGGGAGGGTGGCCTGGAGTGAGGGTGGCCCCTGCCTGCTGGCTTTGAGGACCTTCCCCTTTGCTGACCCTCAGCTCAGAGGTCTCAAATGTCGTCTCCTCAGCAGGGCCTGGGACTGAGACCACCAAAGATGCTGGGCTGGGGCCAGGCAGGGCCGCCAGACTTAGCTGGCTATCATTCGTTTCCCACCTCCCTCAGGGACCCCTCAGGCCTCTGAAGGAGGCAGGCGCACCCTTGCTCACCCCTCATGGCACCAGCCACCACACAGAGAGGGCTGCATAGAAGCTAAAGCAAGGGCAGAGCTCAGTGGTGACCCTAAACGGAAGCCCAAGGCCTCCGCGCCTCTAGAGAGGCAGGGCGAGGTCCAAGGTGCTCAGTGAGGGCAGCGCTCGTGGGGGCCAGCTGGGATGAGGGGTCAGGAAGGAGGTGGGCGGGCAGCATTTCCAGGGGAGGCTTGCTGCTGGCCAACACCCACCCAGGCAGGACAGCACACCCAGAGGCTGGGCCCAACGCTGAGGGTGGAAAAGCAGGCCTCCAGCCTTCCAGGAGCCCAAAGGAGCCTGTGCCAGCCAGCCCTGCCAGGCCCCGGCAACCTTCCGGAGTCAGAAAGACATGGAACTAGTCCCACGAGGCCTGAGCAGCAACCCAGCTGAGCCCTGCGGCCACCAGCCTCTCAGTTTCTGTGGACAGGGCTGGGAAATTAACTATGACCACGTACCCCACCCCTCCCCCACCCGGAACAGAGCTAGGAAAAGGCCAGGGACTGATAATGACTTCCTCTTCCAATGAGTCACTGGCAAGGTTGGCCAGAGGCCAGCCCAAGCTCCTCTGATACCCACCTGAGACTAGCTGCCCTCCGCCTGGGCCAGGCTCACACCGGGGTCCCAACCCCCTGCCCCATCCCCTAGGATGACTCCCAGCTACCTCTGGAGCTGCCGTGTGAGGCTAGTGTCCCCCATCTCCCACTGCAGCAGGCTGTGGCTTCACAGCCTTGGTACCATCTGCGCCCATTCCCCAATCCTGCCACGGGCAGGTTCCGTGGGCCGGGCCCAGCCTCCAGGCCAATCAGAGGTGGGCTCTGAGACCCAGGTCACCCAGAAAGGGCCAGGCGGGGAAGCAGCTTGGCACAGGGATGCTTGGCTGGGTTAGATGAGTGCTGGTAGAAAAGGACCAGCTCAGCTCGCGGAAAGACGGGACCGAGGGTGGCGAGCAGTCACTGTGTGCTGGCTTTCCAGCCTCCTGAGCGGGGCTGGCAACCCCAGGTGAGGCAGGCATCAGTGTCCACCCCACAAACAAGAGGAGAGGCTCAGACAGGAAGCCACAGCGAGCGAGGACGCAGGGCTCTGAGCCCAGTCACAGACTCCAAGGCTCAGCCCTCACGCTCTACAGACGTAGCCCGTGTCACCAGGTAACACCAGGGCCTGTGAAGAGTGGAGGGCTGGTATGGGGCCCGGAAGTGGACCACGGCCTCACTAGCGGCAGCAGCAGGCTGCCGTGAAGTCCTGGGCCTCTGCAGGCAGCTCCGTGGCTCTCAGCCCAGCCCTGGATGCCGAGGGGACCCATGGCAGAAGGCCCCAGGGTCCGAGGCCGGTCTGAGCGGCTGGGGGAGGCCGGGGAAGCCCCAGCACCTTTCTAGGCCTCGGTTTCCCCTCTGAAGTGCGGGCTGGTGACTGGGATCCCACAGGGCTGGGCTCAGGTACGGCTGGGGAAAACCAACCTCGGCTCCTCCCTGCCCACCAGGAGGCACAAAGGTGGGCGGGCAGGTACGGAGGGGGCAGAGCGATCCCCGCGGGCTCCCAGCCCTCCCCTCCCCCACAGCCCACTTCAGTGGCTCTGCAATGTCCCCAGACTCTGACCCAGAAGGTGGAGGCCGGCTCGAGAGGCGGCGGCTCAGGTTACCTCCCCGGGAGGGCCCCGGATTCTCCCGAGCGGGGCAGGAGGGAGAAGCTGCCTAGCTGCGCAGTCCCGGAGCCCCTGAAGCGGACTCTGCCCCCGAGGCCGACCCCATCCCCAACCGAAGTCCAGAGACTGGTCGGGGGTCCACCGCCGCGACGCGGAAGCGCGAGGGCTCCCCGGTGAGCAGAGCCGCCCCCGGCCGTCCACACGTGCTCGCGCTCGGCTAAACCGCGCCGCCCGCCCTCCTCCACCCCGGGGTCCCCGGCGCCGCGGCGGGGAGCGCGCCCCGGCCGGGGGCGGGGCCAGGGCCCCGGCGCGCCGCGGAGCGCAGCAGGTCCCGGCCCGTCCCGGGAGGGCGGGCGCCGCCCCCTCCCCACGGGCAGCCCGCACCTGGCCAAGCCCCGCTTCGTCGCGAGCCGGGACTCGGGGCCACACTCGCGGCCGGGTCACCGCCGCGGGCCGGGCCGGGCGTCCGGCGGGGACGCTTCGCCGGAGCCGCCGGCGGGACGCGCAGCTCCCGGCCGCGCTGGGGCGTCCGGGATGGGGCCCGTGCGCCCGGGACGCGTCGCGGGTTGCCGCCCCGCGCTCACCTGGATGGTCTGGTTGGGGTCCCCGCCGGCCACGGGGCCCCCCACCAGCTTGCAGTAGAGGTCCTCGGTGGGGCGCGGGGCGCCGCGCGCGCGGGCCTCCTCGCCGCAGGTCGCGGAGGCGGCGATGCGGGCGCCCTCCGCCAGGTTGAAGTAGGGCGGGTGCAGGCTGAAGCCGCCGCCCGCCGCGGCCCGCGCCCGCGCCGCGCCCAGCAGCGCCAGCGCCGCCAGCAGCCGCAGCGGCGCGGGGAGTCCGCGCCCCGCGCTCCGCCGCGCGCCGCGCTTCGCCATCTTCCCGCAGCTCCGAGCGCCGGCACTGCGCGTCCCGCGGAGCCCGGCGGGACTGGAGCCCGGCGGCCGGCCCCGCTCGCCCCGCCCGCGGACGTCAGGCCCCGCCCCGGCCCGCCCGGGCGCCCGCGCCCCGCGCCCTGGGAGGGGGGCGGGGAGGGGCGGGGGTGGCGTTAACCCTTCCCGCCCCGGCGCGCCCGCCCTCGCCGCAGGGGCACCTGCTGGCCCGGGGCCAAGCCGCGGGAGCTCGGGTCCGCCCCGCTCCCCGGCCCGCGGCCCTGTCTGCAGGTCCCGGCGCCCGCCTGGCCCTCCGGGCTCTGCGGCTCTCCTCTTTGTCTCCCCAACTTCGGGCACCGCGCAGCCAGCCGCCCCTCCCCCCGGGCCCGGCCCGGCCGCCGTCCGGGGATGGCCGCGGTGGGGGTCCGGATGGGGACCCCCCTACCCTCCCCGCCCCCGGGCGCCCTGCCCTGCTCCGGCCGGCCCCAGCGGGTCCCAGCTGGGCTCCGCCCGGCTCTCCAGAAGGGCGAAGGGCCAGTAGAGCGGTCGCAGGTGCCCGCGAGAGCGGAGGACGAGGGATGCTCCCAGCGGCGCGGGCGGACACACCGGGCCCCGGGCGGGAGGCCCGCGTGGCTGGGCACTGAGGGCTCCAACTGCCCGGCCAGGCCCGACCCGTGCTCCGAGCGACGCCCCTGCCCGGCCCCTGGTGAGGAGCCCACAGCCCGGGGACGGGGACGGGGCCCAGCGCCGCGGCGCAGTGCCGGCCTCTGGGTGGCCGCGGCCTCGGCCACTGGGGCTCCTCCTCCCCTTGGGTTCCGGGGCCAGACTGGCCTCGAGGGGAGCCCTGGGGCGGGGTGGGGCCACAGCTGCCGGGCTGGCAGCTCCCCCAGTCTCTGGGCCGGCCGGCCCAGCCATTGTCCCCCGTTGGTGGTGGGGTTCCCATCTCTGGCCGGGCGGGGCACGGCTGAGTTTATGAAGTTCGGGACCACAGTGGGTGCTGGTGGGGGCTCCAGGTGAGCAGCTGAACCATACCAAAGGGCTCCACCGCTTGCGCAGCGCCATAGCTTCCGGCAGCCCCAGCCTCCTAAACTCCCCAATCCCAAGGCACTGGGCGGCCCCTCCCTGTGGAGCTGAGAACGGGGCAGTGGGAGGGGCCACCCCTCCACGGTGCCTCCCAAGTCCCTCCAGAGCCTCCGTTAGCTCCCCCACCTGGGCGAGGCTGGGAGGCCTCTCCCCTTTGTGGAAGCTCCAGGTGGTACAGCGCACCGGGTGCCCCCAGGTGGGCTAGAAGCTCGGAGGAAGCAGGAGGTCAGTGGGTGAGGGACAGCTGGGGCGGAGGCAGACCCCACCCTGCTGCGCCCAGAGGTCATCCTCGCCACGCCCACCAGGCCATGTGTGCTGGCCCCGCTCCCCTGGACAGCTGTGGGCCCTGACATCATGGGGGCTGGAGGCTGAGATGCACACGATCCCCAGGGTCTGGCCAGGCTCCTGAGAATCTGCAGGCTTCCCACCAATCCCTGGGGGGGCTGGCCGGCAGAGACCCAGCCGAGAGCCAGCCGCGGCCAAGAGCCCTCCCGGCCTCCTAGTGGCCAGGCCAGGCTGTCCAGAACACTGGCCAGGCTTAGGGAGGAATGACTGCCGGAGAATGTGCTGACTCAGGAAGAACGGCCGGCGTGGGGAGGGTTAATCCTGGGGTAGCTGCTTCCCAGAAGACAGCTGCCCCACACGAGCAACTGGCACTGGGCAGCAGCGGGCAAAGTGGGCAGAAGACAAGTCACACAGGCCGGCTCAGCATCCATCCTCTGCCCCGTCCCCACGCCACTGGGAGAGGCCAGCTGGGTCTGGAGATGGGCAGCAGCCAGCAGGTGAAGGAGATATCCCAGCAGCTGCCCGAGCCTGTGGGGAGGGGCGGAGCTCCTCCCTGTCCCCCACCTGCAGCTAACCAGCTCAGGTTCTGGATCCTCACCACTTGGACGAATGGGAGTCCCTCCTGTTCTCCTTTGACTCATGAATGGGAGTCCCTCCTGTTCCCCTTTGACGCACAGCCAGTCTAACCCCTTGTCCCCCTTACAGACGGGACACTGAAGCCACAAGGGTTAAGACAATCAAGAACACAGAGAAGGAGCTGTCCTGAACCCACAGGAGAGGGTGCCCAGGCCAGAGTAAGGCCAGGAAAGCAGGGCACAGGCCCTGCTGCTCTCCCTTAAGGCAACACAACATCTGGAGCCCCTCAGCCAGCCCCAGGGCCACAGGAGTCTGGGGTCAGGAGCTCTGGAGGGAAGGGCGCCCCTCCCCGCAGCCCCACCCAGGGGTCCGGCCCGTTCTCCTCAGCCCGGGATCCTGAGCCAAGCAAACCTGCCCCCCCACCTCCAATGGTGCTCCTTTCCCAGGTGCCCCGGGGCCCCTGCAGGCCCACCGTGGGACAGCCAGGGGGAATGGGACTCAGTTCATCTGAGCTGGCCCCCGGGAGCCACACTGGGGACGTGGAATGCTCCAGGCTCCAGATTGCAAGTGCCAACAGGGAACTGACGATCCTGAGCTGGTCTGCACATGTCTCTGTTCCCCGGGAGGGCTGCACGTGGCAGGCTCTCCGTGCTCCAGCCAGTATCAGCACGGGGCCCTCAAGGCTCCAGTCCCAGTCCTGCGGAAGGCTGGCGGCAAGTTTGGGGATATCAGAGGCTATGGTCCCTCTCTCAGGGCTGCTCCGAAACCCTTCCAACTAGCAGTGGTGAAACTTCTATTTCTATCCAAGGAGCAGAGAAGCCAGGAACTGTGTCTGGTTTCTGTGTCAGGATGGTCCAGTCTGTCCTCTGAAGAGAACACAGACTCGCCAGACACCAGGAGGACTCAGGAAAACATCTTATCAGGACAATATAAACCCCTAGGGTGGAGCTCTGATCTCTGCTGGCCACTGCCGGGCCAAGCTGTGTAATGTGGTCCTCAGCACAACAGCTCTGGAAGACGTATGTGGGTCACTAAGGGACCCAGCCCAGAGCCAGGGAGCTGGGGGAAGAGGTCTATGGGTCACTACGGGACCCAGCCCAGAGCCAGGGAGCTGGGGGAAGAGGTCTATGGGTCACTACGGGACCCAGCCCAGAGCCAGGGAGCTGGGGGAAGAGGTCTATGGGTCACTACGGGACCCAGCCCAGAGCCGGAGAGCTGGGGGAGCTGAAGTGGAGGCGGCGGCCAGGGTGGGGGCCAGAGCAGGCCTCTGCACCTCTCCTCCCGGGGCCGGGCAAGCGCGCCTCTGCCCACCCCCAGGGAAGCTGCCTTTCTTCAACTTTCTGCTCCCAAAGGGTGGGGTGAGGGTGCTGGGCCTCTCCTGCCTGAGAAGCGACTGGAAGAAGAGGGTCTCCCTGGTGGTTGCAGCCCCTTCTAGGACGCACTGGGCTTTTGGTGGTCACAAAGGCCAGGCCCTGGACTGATGCCAACCAGGAATGGAGGATTTGGCCCTGGCCCAGTTCTCAGAGCTTCTGACTTCAAGGTTCCTCCACGGCCCGGCCCCGGGCACCGCTCTGTGGCAGCCCCAGGGCCTCCAGCCTGTGTGTGCTCATAGCACAGGCTCTGGTTTCCAAACTCCAAGAGCACCAGAGACCCACCAGGTGCTGTGTTCCCGTCCGTCCACCTGCCTGCAGCAGAGGTCAGAGGTCACACAGATGGTAGAAAGGGGGTCCCCGTGCTGGCTCTCTGTGGACCAGGGCACCTCTCCTCTACCCCGCTCACTGTGTCCCCTTAGGGTTACAGCCAGGCGTGGGCTTAGAGCCCTGCATGGAGGACCCAGATCTACAACAAGCACTTGGACTTGAGGGACTCGTGGTGCTACCCACAGTGCTCAGAACAGTGGTTAGGAGTTCAGAATGCAGGCTCCAGCTTAGAAGCCCCTTCCCTAGCCTGGGCACCTCTGGCTGAGGACGGGGGCCCAGCACCCCACAGGGTCCTTAGATCCTCGCCTCTGACCTCTCCCACTTGGGATTTGACCTGCCACCTCCATCCAGACCCTGAGCCCCAGCCTTCTTTGTGTGACTGCCTCCTTCCTCCCTCATGTGACTGCCTCCTTCCTCCCTCCCTCCCTCAGAGGCCTGGCCTTCCTGGCTGGACATGTTCAATCTATTAAGTCTAAGCCGTCTTCAGGCTGTTCCCAGGAGTAGAGAGGGGTCCCCACACCCCAGGGAGTGAAGGACCAGCCCTTGGGGGTCACCTGCCCTGGGCTGCATAGATTTCTGAGGAGCCTGCAGTTTAGAGGACACTTAGAATGTCCCAGGGGAGTCTCTTAACTCTGTGCCTCAACTCCTGTCCTGCCTGTTCTCAGGCTCCCCAATCCTGGATTCTGGGAGCTGGAAGGAGGAGCAGCCTGCTGGGGGGGGCAGGAGGGGAGCTGCATCCATGAAGGCATTGTCCTCACCTGCCTGGCAGGCCTTGGCCTGGAGGACAAGCCTCAGGTCCCCCAGGCCACCGGCCTCCTGGGAGGGAACAGCGTGCTCCCTGGGAACCCTGGAGATCCAACAGAGGAAGGGGCTGGTCCTTCAGGGATGAGGTACAGGCTCCACGCTGGGGCCTGAGGCCGGGGTCCGGGGCTCCCCTCTCACCCAGGAAAGGGTTGCAGCCCACCGCCCACTGCAGCACACACCAACAACATCTACCGCTGGCCAACCCTGTCTCAGCCGGGGTGTGTGTGTGTGTGTGTGTGTGTGTGTGTGTGTGTGTGTGTGTGTATGTGTGTGTGTGTGTACGTGTACATGTGTGCCTGCATGCCAGTTCTGGGGTTTGAACTCAGGACCTGGATGCTGTCCTGGAGCTTCAAGGCTAGCACTCCACCAATTGAGCCACAGCTCCACTTCTGGCTTTTGTCATTTAATTGGAAATACGGTCTCATGGACTTTCCTACTCACCCTGGCTTTGAATGGTGATCCTCAGATCTCAGCTTCCTGAGTAGTTCAGACTTAGGGGGAGACAGAAAGGCGGGCTCCCTGCACGTGGGAGGCTGGTGGCATCCAAGGACCCTGAGC